TCAATAAAATCGTCTGCGGGGGATCTGATAGTATGTTAAGAAAATGATGGTGACATATGATGATTTCTCATATAAGAAATCCCGGTACAACATCTTGCAAAACAAATGAAAGAGATAATAGCAAAATTATTGTTACTAAACAAATTGATCGTGCAGAGGAGAGTGCCTACAATTCAAGCATAAAGGTGAAGATGCTTATCAAATATTTTTCGAACTTGTGATAGAGTGAGGAAGAGTTGGAAAGAGGTCAACTCTACAAGGGATGCAGAGAAGAGTTCAATCATCCACTTATTGAGTAGAGTTGTCAATGGGAGATACGACATCAACTAAGATGGAATATGAAAGTTACTGCAGAGTTTTTCACGGAGAGAATTTGTTGGAGTTTTGTGGACTTAGACTGCAAAGATATTAAGAAGAAGAGACACTTTGGCACTTCTCAGCGGTGCAGGGAGATTGATTACATTACGCATGAACGTGAGGATCTGCAACAATTACGAGAAGGAGGGCTCGAAATGTGAGAGTCGTGAAACATTACATGGGATCTGCCATAGGTCTTGTGGGCCAAGGTAGACGAGACAGAAGAGAAATGAGGAGTAGTGGAGCAACCATGGCGGCACGAAGAGAAGCCATATGTGTCGAGAGATAAACAGTATAATGCAACCCACCGTAAGGTATACCAAGTTGGCTGATGATGATACGTTTTATGCAAAATTTTCTGCAAATGGTGTTTGTGGGTAGGAAAGATCGAGTCAAAGGATCAACTGGTTTTTCCAGGCGTTAACAATGCCATGTGACCATGCACTTTTTTAACACGCACTGTAAACATATTATATTAAGAGTTTGCTGATATTTCTTAAAACCCCGACCCAACCCCAACAAAAAAAAACAACCATTTCGTGGCATGCATGCACTTTTTCTTTTCTTGTGATTTCTGCCTATTGTGACTCAAGCAAGCTCTCAGGAGCATGCGAAGTTTCGCATATGCAAGCGCTCGAAAGGGATGCAACATGTGACCTCGAATTCGAAGAAATGCGAAGTTTAGTAAAAGTGTGGCCAAGTGAGATCATTGCCGCTTTTGGTATGCACCAGAGTAACTCAAGATCATCCACAAACTTCCTATCGAATCAAGCTGTAAAGAAACAGGAGATGTCGTCAAAAAGAGCCAAGACGATTGAACGCCTTCTAAAGTGCTCATTGAAATGAACTTGACCTCTTCCAACCACACTCAAGGAATCTTGATGATTCAGTCATAGCCACCATTCTACAACCATGGTCCACATCGCAAAATCTCGGTTCACTGCGGACTGGGAGCAGGGGCCGGATACGATCTCCATCCACTGATTCATGCGTTCCATGTGGGGACGGACCCGGCTCCCTGGTCGCTTACCGTCCAAGAGGGCCTCTCTCTCTGTCTCTCTCTCTCCCCCTCCCAGAATCTGAACTTGAGCTACGAGGAGACGAGGAGGGAGAGCATTATGCATGTCTTAGAGGCAAAAGGGGGGGCTAACAACGATCAGCTTAAAATAGATCTCTCCTCGAGACACAAACAGCCGTCATGGGGGGCTTCTCGACTGTAAGCCACAATTATAAGGGCCGCTGACGAGAAACGGGAGTCATTCCTGCGAGTACACGATAAGGATATGGGGTCGTAGTTATCAATGGGGAGCGTACTAGCGTAGATCTCGTGGCCGCCCGGCCGCATCGACCGATGGATAAGCGACTTCATGGAGGCGCAGCAGAAGTCGAGGGGGAAGGCAAAAGGAGGAAGTCGGAGGGGGCGGGGGCAACTCTCGGCCCGTTTGCGAGCGAGCTTGTTCACTTGACTTGACTTGCTTGCATGCATGCAAGGCTGCATGACGTCCCACAGCTCAGAGTAGCCAATCATGAAATCTAGTGAACGACTGCCATAAATGGCCCACATAAAGCGCTGTTAAGAAGCCAGGCGCATCAGCTCGGGGAGGCCGCTGACGTCAGAGGTAGACTTCCATTTCTAGCTGCCGCTCGCCGTCGACGTTGAGGTTGTTTGAGGACCAAGTCTCCGGGCGTGTCCCATCGTCGCAGCAGCCCGAAGTCCGAGGCCAGGCCCGGCAGTTGTTTATTCCGACTGTACGAGCGCGATGCAGCATCTGAGGAATCGCTGCGCTGCTCTTGATAGGAAGGAATTTCCAGTACAGTCGCCTTCTAACAATAGGGTTACTCGAGAATGGGAAGTAAACTGTTTCTGCATAATGCCCAGCCGTTGTCTGCATACTGGAGCTCCCGGCGCCCCATCGCTCCGATAAAGCGCTCGATCTTCGCCCACTGTGCACTCGTAGCCAGGAATTAGACTCTAGCTCCTCGTAGGGGTACAACGAGGGGGGACGGCTAGGCCCTCCCGCCCCGTGTTCATGCGGACCCGCAGATCGTGTAGGGTTCTGCGAAGTGTAGGCACCGGGCGGGCTCGTTCGTTGAAGCTCCAGCTCTGGGACGGCCATGAATGACGGGCAATGGTACACAGAGAGAGAGGAGATGGATTTCATTGATGTGTGCCTGCCGCCTCCTCGCCTGTAGGGGGGAAACAAAATTTAATCTAACCCGTGGTCGTCTGCATGACCATGACCATGCTGCTAGGGAGCGAAGCGTTCGGGAGGGGAGGGGAGGGGAGGGGGGCGATGGGGCCAGGTGTGGCCCGGGAAGTGGGTACCACAATCTAGGCGAATCCCTCTCGATCGGGGTTATAATCTCCTTCGGTACAAACACGGACGGAAGGACTAGTCATGGTCGCGCAAATCTCAGGCTCTGGATATAATATAGGATTCGTTCGACACAATGAGAAGGAAATGGAGGAGAGAATTTTATGGTCTGCTCAGGTACTGTTATCTGGAGCTCTGATTTCTCCCTTGTCTCATTGCTTCGGTCGGTCAGCCAGTCAGTCCGTCAGTCAGCGAGGCTGAGAGTCAGCCCTGGCTGGCAGCCGTGGCTCTGACTGGACTTCTCGATCGAAATCACAAGGTCTGGCAGTGCCTGAGGCTCTTACAAGATTTAGAAGTTGGAGTCCTGCAATCCAACAGTCTCCGTCCTTGCAGTTCAACTCTGAGGGAGGGAGGAAGGGAGGGACGGTCTGTTCTGGCCTGGCACTCAAAATGAGACCGAGCACCGGGTGTGATTTGCCTGGAAGATATCTGGCAGGCAGAACGTGTCTGCAGAAACTCGGTCGTCTACCTCTCCAGTCATTCGCTAATCAGGCAAATCAACATAAGAAATCGGCTCACACGGTTCGGGAGAGCCTCGTGTCAGACAGCAAATCGTAAGACGACTTGAAAATGTACCGTCTGGGGTCTGAAGAGCCTGCAGCCGGGGATTAACAAGCCCCATTAGGAAATGGGTACAGCCTGAACTTTGTTGTCTGGCGGGCTTGAGCTCCGGGCTTACGACATTTAGAAAGCGGTCTTAGGTTCGGAGACTCTGACGACTGGCCCGCCAATGGGCCATACGTTTCAGTTGCGTCAGTTGGTCAGCTGAGTCTAGCACCCTGGGACATTTTTTATACAGCGGCTAAAATGTTGCAGGGGGCGTGCATGAGAAGTCAAGGTCAAGGGGGGCGGGGGCGGGGGCCTCTTGCCTCTCCTCCCCTACCGTAGCGCGCAGCTGCAGCAGCAGCAGCTCAGATCACAGCAGGAGAGCAAGTACTGCAGAGGTACCGGCTAGCTCCTTGAAATTAGCTAGGCGAACTTGGCAGAGCGAGAGCGAGGCGAGTAAGATATGATTACCTAGGAGATGGGCGAGAAAATGTGAACCCTGGTCCGAGTAGGGTATCATGTGGGACAGTCAGTCAAGCCCAGAAGACAAAAGTGCCTGCCGGATCGGATGGAATTGGAAAAGGTCATGGAGAAAAAGTGTGGCTCCGAAGTGCCGGGCTGTGCTTCTACGAGTCCTCCCTCCTCCGGTGTGGGCTCGGCTCATCACTGGTAGGGATCGGATCGAAGTTGTGCTTCCAGGGCAGAGGCCCGACCGACCGAGGTCTGCCCGATTCTATGATCATGTGGCTGGCTGAGTGCAATCCCCATAAGTGCCCGTCCTCGATAACACTATGCATGATTGAAGTGAGAACTTCCGCTCCTGGACAAGCACAACTCTTAACCTCAACCTTTCTCCGACTTTGCTACAGACAAATGTGAGGGAGCCGACTTCCTATCGTCAAAGGGAAAGCCAGAGTAAGCAGAAGTAGCAAACTAATATGCGTAGACAGAAACATCAAATTTAGATCGAAAGTGACTGCAGAACTCTATCTGTACTGTCTGCCCTTGCAACTCAAAGATGAGACTATGTAGAGTCGGCACCACGCTTCCATTATTGGAAGAGGACTTGTTAAGGGCCTTGCAACATGATGCCACCTCCGAATGATGGATGGATAAGTGCACACCCATCAGCATTTTGCAGTTATCGATAAGGGCAAGAGTTGTCCAAGTGCCGGTGGGACTAGATCTCTACTCGGCGTGGACTCGAAAGATTTTGGGATGATCAGCTTGAGGCTTGAGGCTTGAGGCTTGGCGTTGAGGTGGGCACGAAGGGAAGAATAAACGTGTGTCTGAGAGCGGGGATTATGGCGACGTCCTTTTGAAGTACAAACCATGTGAACCGGGGCATGTTTGATTTGTCCCCATTATGCGCGAAAAAGGCCAGCGGGGCTAACTCTGAGACGAGAGCTGAATCTGCAAGGATTCTCCTGAGCCCAGAGACTCTACTGCCCCTGCTGCTTGTCTGGTGTCCGGCTTCTCTCTTGTTGCGAGAGCGCACGAAGTTTGAGGAGCGCTGGGAAAGGACAGATCGGGGTACCTGAATCAGCAAAGGCCCTCAGTCGTTCGGTGGTGTGACCCCAGAGAGAGACCAGAGTCCAGAGCCGGATGGGTAGACTTTCAAACGCCCAGAACCTATAACTAATCGGCTTGCACAATTGGCACTTCTTAACTAATTCCCCCACTAGCGGCCTACTCTAGGGCTGCTGCGAGGCTCCAGTACCGTAAGTTGGACAATGTCTCAGACGAGAGTCATAACTAACTTTGTGTCTCGCTGAGCTAGAAAGGGTGTGGGACCTGTAAAGCGTAACTACTTACCTTCCTCATCAGTAGGACCCATAACGACTTATCTTTACACCCTGGTCTCAGTTCTCGGCCACGAATGCCCCTCCCGCTCTACTACACTGCTCTATCATAGCACACAAATAAAATCGGTCCAAACTTTCCCGGAGAGGAGCAGAGGGAGAGCAGAAGGAGTGCTTGTGTTCATGAGAACTTACAGACGGAGAGCTCATTGGTCCCAGTGGATCGAGCGACACTGTTCCTCTCATAACGTCATGATGGCTGAGGCCTGGCTCGCTCCCGACTTGAGAAAACCCGCCCCGACGGTGAGGAATGCCGAGCCCGTTCATCATCCGGGCACATGTGCATTACTCCGGTGCACTTTAGAGAGTCTGCCTCATCTGAATCGATTTGGGCTTGAATGAAGAACTGGGGTGCAAGTACGCTTACGGAAGAGAAGGCTGCACCTGCATGTCACGCAAAGTCTGTTTGGATGACTTCTTGCGGTGAACTATCATCGGCCTGTCCTCTTCGCTGCAATCACATGTGATAACGATTGGTTCCTCCAAGGCTTGTGTTGATTGTCTGCCCCTCCCCGTACACGAACCATGTGATTCAACAACCATGCCCTTTCTTCAATAAAACGAGTATCATGACAAGAAAGGACCTTATGAGGTTTAGGACCTCGCTGATTGGGATTTGCCAACAGTGGTATCTAGCCTTTCCCTCTTAACAAACCTTCCAATCTCCACAGCAGAAGATGGAAAAAGTTATGCATTTCGTGAACTTAGGAATCTTTGCTTGTTTTGACTGACTGCCCCAATTCTCTTCCCCTTCAGTACATTAAAGACTATCCATAGAAGGACAAGCACCATAGGCCAATTCTGGTCAGAAGTTTAAATCCTGTCGGGCTTCACATGAATGTATTCAAAGTTTTGGAGATCTCTTTAACATACTTGGCTGTGCTAGTTTGACTGACAGTCTACCGACAACTCAATGCGGTAGTCAAGAAACCCAAGAATTGATTCTGGCCATCAGATTTTCTCTGCACATTTGAGTGGTGTCATAGGTTTAAAGAGGTAGCAATAGATATTCTCACTGCCGAGACTTTGACTCAAGTCAACTCAGACGCTACCACCAGAGATCATCCAGGAAGACATGCTGACTCACACGTTCTTCTTTACCGATATGATGAGAATCAGAAGCCATAAATAATATGGTAACCGGCAACTTCTACGCAGATATTTATGGGGCATACGAACAGGCAAGACCGAGAGAATACATATTGCCACGAAGTTGACATAAAACTCGAACAAGTTGTCCATTCGCGTGATTGGATTGCAGACTGCGTTCGGTAATTGGACGGCAAAGTTAAGGACAACTGACACATACCTACGACTATCATTCGCACTAAGACCAAAGACAGCCAAGTGAGTTACGCCGACCTTCGAGTTTTTCTCGAGTTCTCGCTGTAAATAATGCATGGGCAATTGGTGAGCGGAACCATGACATCGAGCTGAATCACAAGTTTCTTTCACCAGGAGTGACGCCGCCTTTATATTTTAGTGTTCTTGGCCAGTAAATCCATATAATTACATAAATATATCGGTAGTATACCCTAAATTTGATGAGATTGTCAAAACAGACGTAAGATTAGATCGTTGTTAAAAATCTTTAGACCAAGAACTTGTTTCACCTACCTGAAGTAATCATGTTATGTTCTGAGAATTAGAAGTATGCACAATTAGATCTTCTCACACTAAACAAATCAAATCGTACACACGCCCTAGTATTTAATAAATGGACAAAAGTACAAGAAGTATATCTCCTAATAAGTGGACTCGTACATAGATGAAACTTTATTGCATTAAATCCAGGCAAAACGGTTGACAAATAGCATGGAGTATAACAACGATATGATTTCACATGGATATCATTACACGTGTTTGCCAAATAATAATAAATTATAATTATTCATAAATAGTTATTCAATCTTTATTATCTAAAGAATGATATCTTTCCTCTTTGATAAAATAAGTTTTTCCATGCCCTCACGAACCCATCAAATCCATACTAAATATATCAAAAGAAAGAATAGTGAACATATTTCGTACCAATGTTAATAACAATATTTTAGTACATGAAATATTCGTTGGCAAAAAACTTATATGCAGAGATCACAACATTTTCATATCGAAGAATATTACAAGGAATCTATGTTGGGAGAGAGTATTAGGGTGTAGAGAGTATAGCCTGGAAGCACCTGGGGTCAAAACAGAGAAAAGCATTCAATCGCATATTTTTCAATTTAAGGGCATCCTTCCATGAGGAGCTGAATCATTTAGCCAGGACTTCTCTTCAGCCATTGGTCCGTCTGACGCAAATTTTCTTTAATATAAAATAAACAGTAAGAAATTAGTAAAGTAACAAAATTACCTGTAAGTGAAGATGCACAGGGCAACTGCTCTAAGAGAGTCGCTATTTCGGATGTTGATTACGATTGTCAGGGAATAATAAGTTCATCTTTGGACGTTCTGTTACTCAATATTGCTGCATATGAGAAACAAAAGTCTCTAATCTACGAAATGTGCACCACTAGTTACCAGGATTTACATTTGATGACCAAAACCCATGTGCTGTATTCAAAACACAGCACATGCCCTCATACTGGAAAGTCTGATGCTTTTAAAAATCCTCGGTGCAAAAGGCCGTTGCTTGTACTGATCTTCATCCAACTTCACAACAAAGCAAAAACTTCGAAAACTTATGAGGTTTGAGGGCACACGTGAATTTTGAAGACAAACTCGCCGTCGCTTCATATTGAAACAACATGGCATCAAAATGTCAAGAATAGGTTTTTCAGGTTGTATGCAATTCAGCAAACAATCAAAAGCATGCGCCACAAGACGGAAGAAACACGCATAGTGACCACGTTGTAGTTGGTCCAACAGGAACCACACTCATGCCTTCAAAGCATCTGCTGGGCAGGAATAGTTCGCCGGGGCCATAACGGAAAGTAAATCACATACTTAGATTTTAAATAGAAGAGACAACATTACTAACAACGAGGCAGGCTGGCCCAAGTCATGCAAAAACAACTCTGGGCACACGCTAATTGACCCGAAAGGTTTACTTCGATGGAAGGGGGCTCTTCTGTACCCAAATAAACGTATTACAAATTGTTGTACATGTTTCAGTCCACTTGAGGTTATGGTTACCATTTGGACATCAATATCAAGAGAAAATTACACATGCGCAAAGTTGCGTCAACCTAGTCTAGAAAGCTATTCAAGCCTGAACAATGGTCTTTCAGCCGCTTGGAGAAGCTCAAGCACTAGGCTTGAAAGGTCTAGATCGTTCAGAGACGTGACAGGAAGGTCCCATGATCTTCCAGTATTAACAATAGAAAGCTTCCCAGCCAGAAAAAGTTTTCAACCAAGACAAAGAAAGAGCGCAGCACCGAATATACGACTAGTGACGGAGTAAGTAAAACCTTACGGTCGCCAGTCCCCAGGTAAAACTTCTCATCATTCCTTCTCATTTAGTGTCTTATATAGACAACGACGAGTTTTCCTTATTCACGAGATCGATTTGAACGACTCTTTTATATTGACACGAGTATGTACAAACGATTATGCCCTGCGGGGCCACACTGGAAGGAACCTCCGTCTACATGATCTCCACACAAAAAATCCTCTTTAAAGGGCAAATTCTTTAGACTTTCAGTAGTCCGTGCGTAAGAATATGTTCTTTCGAGGCTAACAATTACGAACGAGAAGTCAATAAGAAGACGTATGATTCATCTGGATCACCAAGTCTGCACGTTTCATGGCAAAACCAGGTAGGCAGTCCGGCCAATTACTTTCCAAATTTCCAGGACAAGTCTTTGTCGGTCCGAAAGAATATCTGAAAGCACGATTTACTGTAAATTCAAGTGCTAGTTCAGGTAGAAATGATTCACAAGCTTTGTAACAAAACATACATCATTGGATTGGTTCAAAAAATGGAAGAGTTATAAGCATTAAAATAGTGTCAGTTCCGCAGTACATGAGTGACAAAGTCAGCGAAACCCCACCACCCTACGTTAAAGCAGATATGGAAGTACCCGTGCATCACCACGAAGAGGTAGACCTGTCCGAGCACCCAGTGCCCGACATTTGGTTGCAGCCTACATGGGACACAAATCACAAATCCACATATGAATTGAAACAGAGACATTTATCATACCAAACGTGAAGTATGGATTGTTCGTGGTAATGATGAACACACCTCTTACACAAGATTTAACTGGCAACAGTACAAGCTTTACAGATTTGATTTTAAACTTTGTAATGAGACAACCTACTTACAGAAAAGACATTACTTACCACAGCAGATCCGAGTGGAAGCATATTTTCTGGTATTAATCCGGCACATAGACCTGCATGGTGTGGACACAAAGCATTATCGATCATCAATATGCTATTCGTGCTTTGTGTCGCCTACATTTCCTAGACATTTCCTAAGAAGTCGTACTCTTTCGTCATGGAACAACTCAATCCTTAGCATATGGATGATGCTGGCGTGCGAACATTCAAAACAGCAAAACATAATACATACTGGTACTTCAATTAAAATGAACACTGAGGCTTCTGCATGGATTTAACGTACAATACATGACGGCACCAATAAAAGCGTCGCCTGCTCCCGTGGTGTCTACCAGCTCAGTAGATGGTACAAAGTCTGCAGTTCCTACTAAGAGCCGCCCTACACATCTGTCTTCAGTGTCTACTGTCCCGGCCTTGGAGTTTTGCAATACACCCACCTGAAATGTCGACATAATGCAGGAAACACATACAAAATGTCCTTATACCTGTCTTTTAACATCATGTAGGTGAAGATGAGGCTACATATGCAATATACTCGACACTGGGCAGCCGTACATTCCTATCCTCACATGCAAATCACAGCAGTGATATCCGACACTAATTTGATAAATATCCGTCATGTTGCTCACAAGTCAGAGAGTAATATCTAGTTTAAAGAAATAGACAGATCTGGACAACTACTTGAGTTTTAGAAGGTATACTGATCTAACACTAGTCTTTGACAAACCTCTACTTTTAAACATACAAGAAATACCAATTTGGTAGAAAAATATACAGGACTGGGATACAGGGACATGAGGATATAAGAGTAGTACAGATATCAAAGATACTAAGAAGAGCCAGAGAGACATTATGAATGACATGTGCAGGAAAACATAAAGAGTTTCCAACACACGAACCCAGAAACTATAATCAAACTATAAAATAAAGTATGCACTCGATAAGCACCATGATCCCTCCACTAGAATTATCGGGTGGAGAGCAAGTTGTTGAAGCAAGAATGCAATAAGTTGTGTGAAAAGGCTTTCCCGATGGATCGACTTGACACTCAATGTGCAGTGGGACTAATCGAGAGATACTTTTCCTAAGTAGTGAACAGGCCGTAGTGCGAGCTGACCTTAGACGAGAATACGGTGGGGCCTGAGATGGGAGACTCTTTAGCTTCTCTCCACAGAGACTGCAAGGTTTGATTCACATCCATCATTTCTGGTTTCTCTGCATATCAGCAACGTTATGAGCTACGGAGACAAAACCTGGAAATTGAGAGAGACAATCAGCTCTAGCCCCAGCTGTCTAGAGCAGAGATCATCGGGAAATACGTTACCTGATGAGCTCCTCTCAAGCATCACACATCCAGCAGCACCTTGTGTTACTATTACAAATTGCAGACGAGGTAACTTCAAAGCTAGGGCAACTAGGGCTTCCCCTAAGGTCGGAGCCTCTGTCCATGCCTGACAGAAGAAAAAGTACGTTAATATTTTGCTTTCAATCATGAGAATACTAGTGACAAAACCGTCAGGGAAATGTGAACGAAAGGGAGATGCGATTGCAGCTATATGATCATCCACCTTAAAGTCCTGAGCGTAAAGAATCAGAATTACTATCGCATTACTTACTGAACTAATTTCCACATTGATTAAAAACTGAAAAAATATTGAACTATTATGAAGTTTATCATATTCTTCATCACGATTCAATAGGATTCTCGGATAGTAGGTGCTACCGTTAGTAAGAAAGACGATGATCACAAAACAAGCATTGATCTTATTGAGTTGCATTACATGCTTGGAAAGTCTACGCAGTTTAGCCGTCATAACATGTCGGTATCAAGTTAAATTCCAATGTTTTTTATGTTCTTTTCCAGCGTTGCTTTATATTCTATATCCTTACCACAGGGAATTTCGCAGAAGTGACGAGATAGTCAGCATAATGCAGCAGCTCGTCTAAGCCCTCTCTCTTCCTCTCAGCATCTATGATAATTGGCAGCCCCTGTTTACTTGCCTGGAACCAAATCATCCTATGCTAATCAGCACAAATTTTCTCGTTGGAATCAAAACAGATTTGAAGCATACCTGACCCATATGATTACATAGTAAGCTTTTTCATGTGTACTTGAACAATTGGAAGATGATGTTTCCAGCGTATATTTTACAAGAAGCTACACAGCATAGACAGACACTCGCCTCTTCTGCTACACGCAGAGCAGCATCAGGAATACGTCCATCCAGATACAACAAGTCTGCCCCGCTGAGAAGCGATGCTATGGCTGAAGAGGAATAGTCGGAAGGTTCCAATGGAGGGTATCCAGGCGTGTGTATGCATGTCCGTGTTTTCCTGTTAGGAACGTCATCATAGTTACTTGAGAAAAAACAGCTGTACATCTGCTATTCACAAGATATACTACGTGGCATTCTTTCATCCAAAAATTTACAGCTATCTAGAAGCTGCCGCAGAGGGATTTTCATCTCCTACAATTTCTTCTTTTACTAACGACAAAGATGATTTGGATCAACAAGCTCTCGCGATCAAGCATCTCAGTTTTCAACATCGGAGTCAATTGACTTTGCACACTTACGTCTCTTCATCAACAATGACGTAGGTGAAAGGAGATACTCCTTCGTCAGCTACCTGCACTGCCAAATACCACCACAACAGGGTGAATAAGCTTAGACACAGGATTAAACAAGTTGCGGCTATAAGAAAAAGGTGATCGCTTCAGATCATTTTCCGTACATTTCTGGCGAGCAAAATAAAATATCGTAAATCTGCTACCATCTCACTATATGAAATCCAATAGCCTTTACCTCTGATATTTATGCATTGATTCTCAGTTGGAGTCTCTGAGCAGGAGCATCATCAACCGTAATACTGGCATCATAATCACCGATTTTTCACTGAGTGGCTAATGCAGTTTAGACAGACACAAACACATTTGACAGCTGTGTATTTCTTGAGCAGACTTTGCTGCGGCCTCTCGAGCAACCATATCCCGTATCATCCATGATACGGGATGTGGAATATGCTGGCAGAAGAATTGGTGCTGATAGATGTTTTCATAAAAGATGTGGAATACTATCTACTCTAAACCAATAGAGCTGAGTCTTGGAGCTTAGGGCAGTTTCTCGGTAGATCTCCGCCTTTGAGTCATAGTTAAGGGTAGTGCCATCAACGTTTATGACTGGTATCACGTTTACAGTTTCCCATCCATATGTAATTCTTCAAGCACATGGACAAAAAGTAAACGGCAATTGATCATGCAAAGAAGCAGATAGAACTTACCACAACGTGGGAGACATCGACTCCATCAGCCTCCAACTCTTCCAGTATTCCGATGCCGGAGGAGTCCTTAGCCAGCTGCAGTCAGGGATATTACAAGAGCTCAGAGCAGACAACACGAAGGGTCATCAGATTTTTCTTCAATTCTCTGACTATCAGATCGAAGAATCTCGTGGGAGACTGATATGACATGGATAAAGATTTCGAGAAGAACCAGTAGCCTTGATCTACACACAAAAAGCATCATACACGTCAAATCTAAACTGCAACTCCAGCTAGCACGGACAGGAGTCATATGAACTGACTCGGATCCACAAAAGTAGGGCTTCAACTGCGAAAACTACTCTGCCTGGGACTAACCGCACATTGTAGAAAATCGCTAACTCTGCCTCGGACTAATAACACATGATAGAATAACCCAGGTTGGAGTTCCTCCAAGGAAATTAATCCTTTACATGCAGGTGTGTCCATTACCTTAGAGTAAACTCTAGGTTTGAGCCCAAGTCGAGCTGCAGCAGTCAATGCGTTTCCTACATTGCCACCGCCTTGAACCTGGTTTCGCAACATGCAAGTATTTGAAACGTGCAAAGAAAGGAAGGGCGGTCCCAACGTCAGCATTCAAGAGAAAATAATACTCTCCGCATGGGTGTTGCTCAACACAATAATTGGTGTTTCAAAAGGAAGCGACCGCATATTTCTCTCTTAAGCTCAATGTTGATGGTACAAAATTTCAAACAGACCGCATGAAGCAGGTGGAAGATTAGACGCTGACCAAAGAATCAGTAGTGCGAATCTTGGCATCTGCTTCGGGATATGAGGCCACTTTCGCAAGAAAATCCAGTGTTAGAGTCCCACAGCCCACCTAGACATTGCAGAGGAGAATGTTAAAGGAAATGGTAAATGAAGTGTTGAATTATTATACTTAACATGTTTAACCAAACACGATATCTTCACAGCTTGGACTTTTCGACTCGGTGAAAAGCAAAGCATAAATTTGCAGCTGAAGTTACATGTCTCTGACAGTAGGTACATATAAGAAATCAGAAACTTTATTTACCACAGTCCGTCTTGCCGGCAAAGGAGGAAACTTTTTATCACTGCCGTCGTTGATCTCCACTGATACTGCTGAAGTTCCACCCATCGAGGACGAAACCCTGGAAACTCAGTTAAAAATCAGCAGTCGAAACGTATTTATGCTGAAGACCAGGAAAAGCTGTCAATTACCATAAATGCTTCGGATAAAGACAAAAGACCAATGAGAGCTGAAAAAATAGTGAACGATGATGATGAACAATGTGCAACATGTAACAAGCGTCTCTTCTTGAATGGTAGGGAGGTGATTAAATTTTGAGGCAATTCAGTACATTTACTCAAACACTTGCTTCGGCACAGTGCTCTTAAAAAACTGGATACAGAAAAAAATCTTCTTCATGAGATTAAGCACAGCTGCAAGATATATATACTTCTTTAAAGTAGAAATAAGTAAGAAAAACAGAATTCGAAACCAGTGCTTGAAGATGGGACTGCTTGGAACTCAATTCTCGCTTACTGGTGATTCTATCCATCCACATTTCACATAGGCAAGACTAGTGTTGTGAGGAAATCCTAACGTGGAGAGGCAAGCGGTCAAGATGAGCAATTTAGCCTTCCTGTCAAAAGTTTATGCTTACACAGAGCTCTCAGAAACTGTATGCGAAGCAAACTCTTGATCATGAAGCGAAGCACAGCTGCAAGAGAGGAGAAGGCTCACATTAGAGCTGAAGGAGGTCCTCCAAACGATCCCCATCCTCCACGTCGACACGGGGTAGCGGCAGGCAACATAGTCGACGACTTCAACCAACGGGCTCGCCAATTGCCTGGAGCAAGAATCTGATGACAGAGCGAGGCAGGCGGAGCAGGCGGCCTGCAGGCTGCTGCCGTCGAAGAAGATGTCCAAATTCGCCCGGGAGCTGACGCGAAGGCGACCGCCATGACAGAGCGAACTCCAAAAGTCACGCTCGCCTGCCAATTTCGCAATCACCAGGCTTCATGAGTACGGCCAACGTCCTGCTCGATCGAAACATTTCCAGCCATTTGAATGCTCCACGGAACTTGAGCTTCCATTCTTTTTCAAACTGTCGAACATGATGATTCATGAGTTATTAATATCCACAAGTATTTCACCGGCTGCCACAGCGGAGCAAAGGGCCAGGCCGACCGGCAACTCTCCGTCGAGTCAGCCGGTCAGTCGACTTCGCCGGTAACGACCTGGAACCTCGGTGGACAAATGAACGGCGAGGATGGAACGATGCAAGCCACTTTGCACTTTCTCCGATTAAAGATTCCATTATATTGGGCGAATCGAGGGGATGCACGTGGTTCGCACATCCTGTGGACCGGCGGATAATTCAGATTTATTTCCCGGAGGCCACACTGGTAAGGCGCGGCGCAAGCGGCCGAGCTCGTAGTATTTTCACTATCTTTCGCTCCTTCGCTTACATGAAAAGCCTTGCGCTTGGTCGTGGGCTCAAGCGTTAGCATCTGAAACATCGGTTCCGATAAAAGTGTGCATCTTCTGCAATAATATACAAAAACTTATATGAAAAAAAAATATAACAAAAATATTTTAATGATTACATGCAGTCAATGTATAACTTTCAGACCTGGAAAAATTAAAAAGCATTTATTTATATTCTTACTTTTCACAATGATAGTTAAAAAAAAAAAAATTTTATGATATTATGATTAAATATAGAAATATAGTTTTCATATTTATCTGTAAGGCCTTAGTATTAGTCATAATGTAGATAAAATTCCTAAACTTTTTGTATTTTTTTGTGAAAATGCAGAATGTACAGTTAAATGTCATAATATTTTATGATCTCTATGAAATAGTTCTGAATTACTAAATCTAAATTTTTATGATGAAGTTTACTTCTGACATATAACAGATTGATTATTTACATAATTTTCATATGAAAAAATGAATTCAAAATTTGATTCTTTAGTCATAAAAAATCTCCATAAACTTAAACTTTGAAGATAAATATTTCTCCAAAAATCAATACATTCAAGAGCTTTGAAAATTTCAAAAAATATTTCAAATTAGTGTTTGATATGACTTGTAAAATTCATAACTCATGACATTGATTGGGATTTTATTCTAAGTATTAATAGACCAAATTATTATTCTCAAATTAGATATTATCATATGTAACAAGTAATATTTAGACTACTTGTTACTCAATGTAAAGACAATGTAGAATCGAAACAGGGGGCCATGTAAATTCCAAAAACATGAAAGATCCCATCAAGTTTTAGAAGGAAGAATTCAGGCGGCACGAAACGGTTGGATCTGAACATCTAGCATATCTAAAAGAATCGAAGATGAGCATGCAATTGATTTTTCATAGGTTATGTAAGATGTCATATGTATGACATGTGCGCTAGTTATTTGCCTTATCATCAATCTAGAAATAGTCGGATAATGATAATCTGATATTTTTGTTATGAAAGAAGATAAATCATTGAAATCGATTTTCAAAGCTGAAGTTTTAAATGATTTGAGGATGGGTGGACAATCAGCATAACTCTGCTCGGTGATGCAAACGCAAGCGAACATGGAGGCTGATGCCTGGCTGCAACTACCGCGGAAATATGGCGACTAAGGTAAAGGAAGAATGGGCGAATCGAATCTCATACACTGACTTATATGGGTCATGGACGCGTTGCATCTCTTGTATGTTTGGCACTGGCACTTCACATCAGGAAGCAGCTGATTCCTTTGCATGTACCTTTCCATGTATCTCTTTGCCAGAGATGATCCTACTGGTGAGGATTGCATTCAAATGTTATTGATGATTATGAAAGCACTAACTATAAAGTAAAGGAGTGGGGACTTATCGATGACATTCTTGGAAGATGAATATATTACAGTGTAGGTGTAACCTGGGTGAAAGGAAGAATCAGAAAGGGGCTATAAATTACCCGTGGTCCAAAGGTGAGGAGTTGATCACATCTTGGAAGCGAATTCAATTCAAGGTCATGACATTCTAGGAAGTACAACTACGTGGCATAATTTGTCTGACGTTTTGAGATCCAGAGGAGGAAGTTGCAAAATGCCCTCAAGCTGACTTATGGGGCCGTTTGTTCTTCTACACAAAGAGTTGTGTATGCTCCTAATTTCATAAAGCTTATCTGTGCACAGGCTTTAGATTACAACTTGTATTTAACTCATTGACCACATCGTTGTATGATGAATGCTTGAATGGCACCACGGGCTTCCCGAGGAGAAGAGAGGAGATGATGTACTTCAGCTGGACGATAGGATGAATTCAGATGATTGTTTGTACGGTTCTAGATAAATACGTCTTCGTGAAATTTGAACGCCATCCACAGATTCTGGGCCCGGAGGCGCCATGCCGTTCATAATACAGTAGTTACGATGTCCAAAGTAAATTGGAAGCTCAACGCGAGGTTTTAGTAGATTGATGTAGTCCAGAACCTACTCAACTACCTAAGAATGAATGTATGAAATAAATGTCCACGAGCATGAAAGCAGGGATCAACGGAGCATACATGCTCTTCAGACAAAGAATGATTATTGCATTGCAAATGCTCGATTGTTCCCGGAGTCGGCTGCCTTCTGAACACGATCTTTGGAGGGACTCAGAGTCTTCACATACGTGGAGTAGGGTATGGTAATTACCTTATTTTCTCCTTTACCTTTCCCACGGACAAGTTGGCTTTTGTCGAAACAACGACGTAAAACCCCCAGCTGGTGCTTAGGATCATCCATTTCCCACTTGACAGTCGAGGAGGAGTGAGACTGTGTTGGCGACACATGGTTGTATACTGTGACCCTGGTTTGCTTACTTGGATTTGTTATCTGGTAAGTCCCACGTGGTGATTGTTGGAGGCACATGCTTTCGAAATTCAGAGAAGTCACCTTGAGAGGAACTTTGATCTGACCCCCCGTCCCCAGACACGGCGTGCTGTTACTGTGATTGTCAGCCAAAGCATTGGAGTCCATTAACAACGGTGCGGACTCCTTGGTTCCAGCTGCATAACCTTCGGCCTCGTGTCTTTCTTCCTGGTGCGGAAGATAACAGGGTAAATGTTAGATATTCGCTCCTGAAGCGTATTGAGAATAGCAGAACACCGGGCTGAGCTTATACTTGCTTGAAATGATAGAATAGACTGGACAACCTACAAACAATGTCTGCTATGACAAAAGTTTTCTCGCACTGCAGCTTAACTGCATCAGCACACACCATCAGAGTAGAAGGGTAGAAAGGCGTGCCTCAGTGATCTCCCTCTCATCGAGGTAATGAAGATGCAACAATCGACTGATAACCGAAATTCGGTATAAATTTTGACGGCTTATCTGCTCAAGGAAAAATTGACACTTACAACCTGGGTGAAATCGCTTGAGCACTGTAACTGCTATCTTGTAACTTGAGCTCTCGGCAGCCAATGACCATTAGATGCATTTCCACATCCGGTGCAGCTTTTAATTGTTGACAGAACAAAGCATAGATAACATTTGTAGAATTTGGATGATTACCGGGTTATTAATAAATGACAGCTTTACAAGCCGCGTAAGACCAGACAGATTATCGACGCTGGCAAGGCCACCCAGTCGGTTTGGTGCAATATTGTTGGACGAGAGGTCCAAGCATTCCAACGCTGCAAGGCCACTGAGATGCACTAATGTCTTCAGGGCATTATTAGCCAGACGCAATACTCGTAGACTTTGGAGCTGTGCAAAAGCCAGTGGCTCCAGCTCTCTAATCTCATTGTGATCCAAATACAATTTCTCAAGAGAACTGAGTCCTCCCAAACCATCCACCTGCACACGCAGTTGTGATCAGCAGTTTTTGAAGGATACAAAGCTCAATGTAATACGGAATTGCGGAGAGTTGTCTATAAATTTGAAGGCATTTCTAGAAGTGTTGGAGAAGCAATAGCCTTCTATATAACAATAAGGACACGTACGGACATCAGTGTTGAGGACATCTTGAGAGTGTTTCCTGTTACACGTTTCGGGTAGCAGACTCTCAAATTGGACTTTGCGAGTAATATACATGTCATAGATGTCCTTACAAAGCTTCAAGTATTGTCCTGTACTTTTATGACCCTTAGGGTTAGTAAAAGCTTTTTTGATCAAGGACAAAGCTTAGAATCGCGAGGTGTGGAAAAACCTTCGAGATTTTATTATCCTGCAGGGCGAGTAGCCTCAGCATTGGAAACTTGTAGTACAAACTTAGGGATGCAATGCTCGTGATGGTATTGCCTCCCAACTTCAAGATCTCCAGAGATTGCAAACTTAAATTCTGATCATCAGACGTGCTTGCCGCGCAGGCGGAAGTCCGTCCCAGGCGATCCATCTCAGAGGAAATGGAAAAGGGTTCAGGATACAGAATCACTCCTACACCGTCTGACGGTGCCTCAAAAAGAGGCCTGTCCTCAAACTTATTGTTCTCCAGATGCAGTATCCTAAGATTTTCCAGAAACCTGCGTAAAAGACATCACAGGTCAGACCTCCGTCTAAGGAATTATGAAAGGAACACGTTAAATCCATATTGCTGAAGTTCAAGACTGGGTAGTGAGTGAATCAGCATTAAGCGAAGGCAATAAATGTAATCACTCAGTCTTCACATGCTAGAGGGACAGATGCAGGCTACGATTACAGGGAAAAAAGATCCAAGAGGAAGACAGAACACAGCAAATGAAGACTTCATTAAGGCAATATCTGTTTCCCACTCTAAAGATCCAAGCCTTTGTTTTTTCCCCCTGTTAACTTCCAATGTTAGCAGGAAAATATAGATCGAGATCTAGAGAACGCTAATATTATAAGTAGTAGATGCTGCATTTGTTCATTGCAGTAACCACGTCAGATCTTGCGACAAAGAGTCTGATTGTTGGTGGGTGATTGTTGAGGCTCAGCCTCAAGTGTTTCCTTCCTATTTAACCACAATGAATCCTAGAGTTTTTTTTCCATCGTCAAGTTCATAAGTTTACACCAACTTATTGTAAGTCCAGTTCCACACTTCTCTCCGCAAGTTCACTCTCTTCGATACATAAGGTCTGGACTCAATTAGTTTCGATCCCCATATTCCTCGACGTTCCCTGTCTGCACTGTAAAGTTTATGCTGCAAAGACTACAGACGGCGAAGATGTGAAAGCTGTTATGGACGAATCTCCCTTCCCAGATCCGAGCCTCCCACATCTTCACTTTTTGGCAATACAGAGAATGGTCGGCATTATTAGGCCAGGCCTTTCGATACTGTGTCACCTCCCATATAATTAAAAAGCAGAGGCTCGCTCAGTTCATCATAGTTTCTCCAGGTGCAAGCTTCTCAAGAAGTCCTCGCCTAGAACGTTTTTCTCCTTTTAGTGGGACGATAGCAGCGAAAATGCAGACGTCTATGATTAACGTCACCACTTAAGTCTTGAAGTTCCAGTCTCTGTCCATATCATTTTCGACGATACTTCTTCTGAGATGGATGAAGCATAAGGACGGTATTGTTTACTGAAAGAGTATACGTTCCAAACTTGTCGAGTAATATATAGATTCACTGAAACAACTAGTGACTTTGTAAAAGACACAATTAAAATTTCAAAGGAGGGATACCTAAGAGGATGCACAGATGTCAGCAGGTTGTCGTTGAGATTGAGCTCCGTGAGTCCACGTAATTCTGAACTTTCGAACACTTCCCCACAACTTCTGAGCCTCTGCCCGGAGAGATCAAGTACCTATGCGGATCAGATCTGCGATTAAATGGCAGCGAGACGAAGCTCATCCGTAACTCCGGACATGCACTTGTCATCTTGAATCTCTAAGCACTGAAACTGCTGGTTCTTTCTTACGCAGGTCGTGTACAGTTCTGCTGAAATACTAACCTCAAGCTTGGAGAATTGACTGTGACCCACGAAATCCTCCAACATGTCCCGAGTAAGTCGTCCAGAATACTTGTTGCGGGACTGTGTTAGTTCATTGCTTTCCACATTCCTTCCATCTAAAACCTAGTTGAGAAAAAAACTGTGTCCTTTCAGCTCCTATGTCAAGGCTGTAGGAACTACCGGCCCAACCCCGAATTTTTTGTTACATAAAATGTCTGAGCTTCTCCTGTTTGCTTTCAGCAGAATAAGTCAACCCACCGCAATATTGGTAGAACTCGGGAATTACAGAAAGGACACATCTGGAAACATGAAGACGGGAAGAAGAATATATGCACAGATCTTTCATGGAGTAGAAAGAGGCATTACTTGTAGATTCCACAGACTAAAATTACGATATTGAGCTTGTTTAGCAAAGCATACTCTCACTTTAACTTAAGTAATGAGGGAGGCGGATGATTTGTTTCAGATAAGCAGATACACTTAGTGAAGGACGCGTATGTTAGTTGCAACGTAGTAATAAGGAATTTAGCTACCCCTGAATCTTCCCAAATCCATGTCCACCGACGAGAAACCTACTTTTAGCTTCCTCAAGGTAAATACAGTATACATCCGGTAATCATGACAATCACAAAGGGAATTGCCGGAGAAATCGACGACAATAAGCTTTTGCAAACCGCGTATGTAGTTCAGCTCACTCAATTCAGACAGAAGATTATCAGATGCATAAAGTTCCATGAGAGAGGACAAATTCTCCAATCCCTGCACGTGCAAATATTGCTAAATTAGGAATTCCTATCGAACAAAATATTTCAGACTAGTACGCTACCGAGGAAAAGTCGTAGTCACTAACGAGATGGAGGTTGGGAACTGATGTAGTACGCAGAGAACACAAATTCACTATACCAAAGAGGATACAGTGTGAACACTAAGCATGAACTCAGTAACCTCCAACAAGCATTCGTATGGTGCTACCTCTGACAGCAAGTCTTGTGAAGGATTTTATGAGCTTACTTTTCTGAATGTGACTAGAATATGGAACATTGCTGTGTGCTACGAAGGAGAATGACCAGGAGCGTCACTAAAATATGCCCATGTTTCTTTCAAGGTTTACTCGAACCATGAATTAATCACAAACTTTGGCTCTTTCACCATAAGTAATGCCCTCCATCTCTAGCATGCTTTATATACCTCTAAATTCTGCATTCGATATTTAAAGGTTAAGTACGCAATACCTTCAATGTATCAATTTTATTGTTGTCAATCGAAAGCTGTTCCAGCATTTCAAAAGAGGGAATTTCTCCACAACACGAAATACGATTTCGGCGCAGATCAAGCCTCCATAAAGCCTTGACATGCTTCAGTTTTGGTACCTGCAACGTCAGGGCACATCCAAATTGGCATTCGGACTAGTCGAGTTGCCAACTTAAGTGCTCGAGGACGCTATGTATTGGCAATTGGGGCACTCAAAACTTGAATTTGATTTGTTTCCGCCTTAAAGTGAAGAATTCAATCTTTGTTGCATTTTCTATTCTTTAATTATGTTCACCTTTCCAGTAAAAAGGAAGGAGAGACTAAATCTGCCAGTTAGCACCTGAGTGATAAGGTTGTCCTCAAGAACAAGTTCTTCCAGTAAACTGCAGTTATCCAAACCCTCGATAACCGTGATTTCATTGCCAGATAGGAACAAACGCCTTAAATTTGGCAATTTATCAAAGCAGTGCATGGTCTTGAGTTTATGATGCTCAAGGTGCACCTCCTCAACATCATCGTACCACGCTCGATCAGCCTCAGGTTGAACATAGAGCTCTCCTCTCCTTTCCGCCATATCAGAGCGCGGGAATACGGTGCAGGGACACACTCTGCAGGGGCTCATGCGATAGGGACTCAATCTGAATGGATCATCAAGCCGTTTCAAGATAAGATCATTGGTAAGGGATGCCCGATCTTCCAAATTATCCAGAGCATCACTTTCAATCTCGCCATGGCCTTTATCGTTGCCACCTTCAGATCGGCTCTCAGATTGAAGATCTTTCTCAGCAGATGGTACCGATAAGGCAGAAGTGAATGGTAGCAGGTAGCCCCATTCTGTTCGGGGTTTTGCGAAGAGTAGTGCTGGAGACGAGACATACTTTCTATCTGCCTCAACACGCTCCTCTGAACATGATGACAATACCTATAATAGCTACATTAAATTGATGAAATGCAGATGCAGAGATTCGAATGCAAGGGAGCTCTAAACTAAAACGAATAACTTGCTCAACAGGTAATCACTGCATTCATTCCTGAATTTAGATGGTAATCGGCGATCCTGTTAAAAAACCACAAAGTTAGTCCGATTTCACATAACTATGTCAGTTTTCTGAAATTTTAAATGTCTTAAGACGACCTCAGGATATCTCCACATCTCACACGGAATATATTTCCTCGCTAATTATAGATCAAAAGGATCAGAGGAAGCACCAGACGAAGCCCCAAACCGATATCGAGATACTACAGAGTAACGAAGAAAAGCAAGCCAACCATCGTTGATTGTAAGTAGTTGAGCAATTAGATACATAAGAGTTCTTACCAGAAGAAATAGGATTACTGTCCAGCTCAACCAACGAAGGAAGAGCTCTAAGTACCATCATCGGATACTCCATGTCGTCTGCGATAGGATTATCCCTAAGATTAAAAGTTGATAACGTAGGTACCTGAAGAACATCAGTCATGAAAATTCAGAAATCTAGCCAATGCAAGTCCTAAAGCCGACGCAAGAGTCATGGGGCCAATAAGTCCTTCAAGCAGAATTGAGTACAGAGCGGCTAATCTTAGTCATTCACTCTAGTATTTTACATGAGAAGATTTTAGAGTCCGTCTCGAGTTTTTTTTAAAGGAATATGAATTTCAGTCTAGGTAAAGGTTTTGAATGTACTGCCGTAACACAAAATTCTCTATCCTCGTCTGAAGTGGGAAACTTTCCTCACCTGAGAATGAAGGTATGTAAAATCACTTGGGTTCCAAATCTGATTTCCTCCAAGGTCCAGACTTCTTAAGGTGTCTAAACCATTCAATCCTTCTATTCGAGCTACCAAGTTATAACTCAGATCCAATTCCTCGAGAAGTGGAAGCTCATCAAGGCCCGTCATTTTGGAGATGTTGTTGAAGCTCAATATGAGGATTTTCAAAGAGCCCAAGCCCCGGAGAACGTCAACATTGTAAAGGTTACTTCCATGAAGATTGAGATTTGTCATAGACTGTAGATTTGAGGCACAACTCATTTTGAGAATATACTCAACGGACAACTTCACTACCGGATCTGCCAAGTCGGTAGAAGGCCTTCCAGACACAGAAGCGTCTAAGTTTCTTGCTTCGCACGGTGGACAATCCGTGCATTCCATGGATGCACGATCACAATTTTGATGTTGTGAAAGGTCTGAGTCTGACAGGTCCATCAACTTGCTCATGTCAGTCAAACACTCAACCCCTTCCCCTGAAATCCCAGGCGAACTTGGCGTTTGCCCGCCAGGAGTATTACTGTTGAAGAAGTAATCAAACTCAACCAAATACTCAGGAACCACGAGGGCAGCATCAAAGACGAACCATGAGCGTTGTTTTGAATCTGTCGGATGAGATCTGTATACCGAATCCGCGTGAGGGTACGATGTTTTCTTCAGAACACTACCTTCACCATCGACTGCACCATTTTACAATTGCTCACGAAGTCAAGATGTGCAAAGTAGATGAAAACAATCTCAGTAACATGGTGGTGATTCCCAGATCTGCATACACCAATAATACAGCTTGATATATTCCAAATTGAGATTGATATTCCATTAGTACGAGAGAGACACACGCTAACCTCAAGCAAGACGTATGATTCGATGTGTTAAAACAGTGAAGAATGAAAAAACACATAGATGGTACAAGAAGACTAATTCCGATTCACATGTAAAGACAAAGAAAAAATACGTTTTCAATTTAACGGGACAGTGATAAAATCCGAGAACGTTGTAATCTGCTAAGAATCGTGCGCCACCACCACAAAATTATCCAAATCTGACAAAAATGGTCAAGAATTCAAGGTCTTAGTTCGTGCTTGTTACCCTTGTTACTTCCCCCGAATTCCTTCCTCCGCGGTATCTGCGTGTATTTGCATCGCACATCTTTTACAGATGTCCCAAGACAAGTCTTTACTACTAGCAGCCAGCCTGTCGTTCTGCCTTTTGGAACCTCAGTGTGAGGTTGATCTGCAAATATCTGCGTAGGGATAACTCACCGTTAATAGCTACTACAAATCTCTTATTCAAAAACCGAGTTTTCGAGAGTGCATGACCACTGCATTCATTATTGCGTAGTGTATAAAGAGTACTAACTAATTGAAATATCTGGTTGAACAACTAATGGTTCTTTCCGTTCTGCCAATGCGTGAATCTCAAGAGACCCAGAAGGATAAAAATGGTTATTGAGGTGAAATCAAGCTCGTAATCCTTGTTTCACTGTTCAATTAAAAGTAGTAAAACATTTAAAATAAACTCCTCTTCGTTGAGGGAGGTACTTGTTTGATGTGGAGTTCGTTAATTCGCCAACAAGGGTATTTCCCGTCTCAAAGGGAGCGCGCAACTACTGTAATATTCCTACATTTGAACAGAAATTTACTTGAAATAGAAATTCTCCAAAAGTATATGGTAGCAGTCATAAGACAAGATTAGTACCTTCAAACGACATCGATCAGCAAGACCGACTGAATTTGAAAGTACCACAGGACTACTGCAACCATGGGCCACTCTTTCTGGAGATAGTGGAAACCCTCCTTCGACAATCCGCTGGAGTTCATCAGGTGCTTGAAATGTCTCTCCGCATAGCAGATACTCGACATTCTTGTTTCCAGATTTCAGCATCTGGAAATATAAAAGTTCAAAGTCAGTCTAATTGATTGAATGAATTAAGAAAACATAAGTGCTGTACACTACAGACTCGAAGTATAAAATACACTGTCATTGCGGCACCCATAGGCTCCAGGTGAGAGATTATACTCATATAACTCATTTGATCAACGGTTCCAATACCAGACTGTGCAACTCACTTTGGTTTCATGCTGCCTTTCAAACTGATCTTGTAGGAAGCGGTTGTGGATCCGAGTAACATTGTGAACTTGAACTCCACTGATGCCAAGTGGTGTGTAGTCATCGGCAAAAAACCTTGACATAACAAGCTCCACACAACTCTTATACCAGACGTCTTTTGTATTGCCTATTTCCATGCGAATATTTCCCCCTAGAAACAGCAAATAGAATTCATGTTAGCTTGAACAGTAATTCCATCCCAAAACAACTACGGGTAACGAACGGACAATTGATTCAGCACATCGGATAGAACTCGATACTGGAGCTATATACAAAAGGGTACTCTAGCATTCGAGGAATGCCATCACAAATCGACAAGATAGGTGCTACCGACACCTAGAGTACCCTTTTGTATACTCTAGCATTCGAGGAATGCCATCACAAATCGACAAGATAGGTGCTACCGACTCAGATCGAGCAGTGTTCAAGGTAGCCTGTTTGCAAGGAATGGAGAAGTTGTATTAATGACGGTTCACTCCTGAGATTCTAATGTAGGAATGCTACGAATTGGTTAACGAACCAGAGTCAAGTTCAACCATAAGCCAGTGAATATTGAGGTCGATGGCAGCCTGTTCGCGCGCTCTGCTGAGCTGAAGTTCTTTGTTGAGGAAATCAAGCCTGTTCAACACCTTACGTTTGTGCTCATCTAAAGTTGCGGCTTTATTTCTGCAGTGCACCAACGACCGATTTCCTCTTTCTGGTGATTCTGTCAATCCTGAGACAGACTTTTCCGTATCAGCCCCATCAACCATATTCTTCTCCACATCTTTGGATGCTCTCACAAGTTGTTTCAGTGTTCTGCAAAGCTTGGTCAACGATTTCCACATGCGTATATGTTAGCAATCTAGCAACCATGATAGACTGTTCATAAAAAAGGTATTTGCATATTGGTATTACTACGCTTTATTGCTGTGGTTAAGCTAGTGCAGATCCATATGGCATAACTTGCTTTGAAAACTTGGAATCTCTATTGTTCGTGGCAATCTTATCTCTAAAAACGTTGACATTGCTCTTTGGTAAGCTGAAGGACCTTACTTCTGTAAGCCCTTGATACGCTTTGACTCAACTGGGAAGGTGTTGACATTAGCTCTGCTCTGCTGCAAGGACTTGATGCACATGCTGTAGTACACCCTTTTCCTCGTGTACGTAACCCGTGCTGCCTGCTTGGCTTCTGCAGTTAGCTCTAGAGTATCCAGCTTTTGAAGATTTTGAAGACGAAATAGTATATATGTCTGTGTTGCACCGAACAAGACAGACTCGAGTTAGTCAGAATGACAGTGGCCACAAATTTAGTGCCAGTGGTGGTATCAGATTCCTTAAAGTTCGCACAAACTAGTATAATTTGTTTCAACATTGACCTTCACCGCTTTTGACGGCTCCCCAGATGATTCTACCTGATAGTTGTGAAGTAGTGAAAGTGGACTGGGACCCCAATGTGGATCTGAAAATCGCAGATCTTTTAACTTTTTCAACCTTGTCAAATTGCCAATTTCCTGCACACGGTACCCAATGAACAATACAACTTCAGTGTTGCTGGTAAACTTGCTCTGATTCGGTGTACTACGCACAGACCAGCTTACAAGACTTACTTTTTCTCCTTACAACTACTAGCAATTGCATCCGGATGTTAAAGTCAACAATACGTGAACTGAACTGGAGTTCAGACGATTCTCAAGCAGTTTTACCACCAAACGTCGAAGTTTTTCCTTGGCATGAATTAAAGAGAATTCTTATTTACTCTTGTACACCGAACGACACAACAAATAAGAACCTTGTAAGTCGTAGGTGTGAAAGACGGAGATCACCTTGAATGACCCAATGTCTGTGGCAGAGACGTTCAGATACTTCAAGGACTTCACTTTTAGTATGTTGCCAAGCTGGGTCAACGGATTTCTTGCCAGATTGAGTTCTTTGAGTTGCAAGTTTTCCAGCCCATCCACCCATCTTATGAGATTGTTGGCTAACCACAACACTCTGAGATTGGTAAGGTGACTAAGATTTGAGATACGCGTAATGCAGTTGTTGTGTAGAAGTATCTCTTTTAACTTCAAACAGTTACTTAGTCCCTCGATCCTGCACCATTCATAAACTAGACAATAAGAGATGGCCTGCTCCAGGTGTAAACACTTGTGAGCAAAGAAACTTGAATTTGCTGCGCAAGTTTGAAACTGACAATTAAAAAACGTACGTATCATGGGCATATATAAATCGATTTTATGAGCAGTCGCTTCCTTCAAAAGGCACGGGATAAAGGCGAACTTATAGGATCCAACTTCACTGACAATGTCAAACATCTGTCGTTCACACAAAACATTCATACCTCTGAATTTCGTTTTCACTCAGTCTCAGAATCTCTAAGTGTGGAAGACAATGAAGGCCTTCGATGCTCCTTAAGTTTTGCTGGACCAGAGAAAGTGATGTCAGGTTCGGGAAGAACGTCATGCAACATATCCGAGGGAAGTTGAACAAGAACATCTCAAGAGTTTTGATGTTCTCGGGATCCATCAGCTGCTCTTCACTGATGTCGTTGTATTCACATATATCTTGCAGTGCTGTGGAAAACGCAGAACCGAAAATTCAGAGGACAGTGTTTTAGTTTTCCCACAACCCAAAGGTTCATGTCATACTCATCTAAAAGTCGAGCACATATTTTGTAAGCTCAACTTGGAGTGAGGTAATTCTTAATTAATCTGCTTCACCACAAGGAGAACTTTTAGCTCCGTATTTTCGACTGAAGTCTGAAAAACAGTTCTTGATGCCAGGTTAATAATACGTACAGGCCCAATTCTCATTGACCAACTCTTATTTCTTCTCACTTAGCTAATCAGGCCACGCTCTCCGATGTCATATAGACCCGATTACGAGCTGATAGGTAGTCAAGGACGGCTGTCTGCTTATGCAAGGAGGAACTACTTGATTACTCTTAATCAAGACAGATTCCGATCCATACCTTGACTCTCATCTGTCGAAACGAAACGCAACATCTCTTTCAAGCTCTTATTCATCGCCATTAGCTCGTCAGCAAAACTCCGCTGTCTTGTTTGGAAATTATGAATGGGTTGCGCTGAACACGAACGCAACGCCGCAGTCTTGCTTGCGGATCTTCATTTCTCGAACACTGAAGTGTGAAATTTCACAGCAACAGTCTTGATTGATGACTCTTGTCGATCAAAATTTGGACCTCCAACACCGCTTGTGGCATACTCGATACACAAGAGACGGGCAATGCCTTACTACTCTCTGCAGACAGCTTGCTTTTCAACGTTGCGGACTCATGACTCCTCACGAGTAACTCTTCAAAGCTTTTTAAGAGTGGACTCCATGAGCCATGGATGCAAGCTTTCCAATTTGATCCGACATGTTGCCGATTGTAACCTAAATCGAGTAGGTCAATGTGGACTCACAAGAGCCCCAGTGGCAATTTGTCTGTGGTCCAGAACTTCAATGTGCATCAGTACAAACGTGCATTCTAGACATTGTACAGGGTCAAAGCTCTAAAAGTCGAAATGACGCGCCATCTCACTCTCTTGAATATGTTCTCCTGAGTTCAGTCCACTCTGCACGCTTTTGATTGGGCCTAAAGATTCCATCAACCGTTGATGAAATGCGCCTCACGAACTTTCCATCAAATATTCTGAAAAATGTCAGTGAAACAGGACTCCACTTTGGCTGCAAGCCCAAATCAGGTACTGGAAATGCCTTGCTCAAGGAAGACACTCACTGCCCACTCGCTCAAGGAGAAATCTTTGCGTGCGATGACGATGAGGGAGCAAGGCCGTTCTGTGCCATTCGTGTGGGGAAGGAGCCAGCTAACCACAAAATTGTAGGTTTCACACGCTAGGAAGCATCTCATGAAACATGTGTGGAAAAAACTTCATACAGAGCGTTTATCCGAACAGGCTCCGTTTAAAAAAGGACTCCATATGCACAAACCTAATGCGCACCACATCAGTCCACACCACACATCCACACTTGAGGGCGCCGTAGTAACGACATTACGAATATCCTCCAGACGAATGGATTGGAACCAAGAAATGTTGGCAGAGGAAGAGCAGTACGCCGATCAAGATCGATAGTGTCTTTATCACCAGAGGCGTCGAAGTTCTGTTGCTCCGTTGGAGGGTTCTCGTGGGTCAGGACTGACCAGGGCTTGAAAGATGTTTTCCGACCGTATCGCAGTGTTCTCGATGCGGAGGTCATGGTGGACACGGGACGTGCTCCAGATTATGGCTTGGTCAATTTCGGCATTGAGCGCTCCATGAACCGAGCCTTTTATCCACCCCATAGCAAGGATAACAAGGCCGGCCCATAACTGCGACCAAAACTCAACGAAAATCTAGAGGAAGCTCGGATCGCTCCGGATCGGGCATGTAGAGGAGGAGGAGGAGAATGTCACAATTGTGGAGAGACAAGGCGTTGGGCTCGGGAGTATATCATTCCCGTAGTAGTGGTGGAGGAGCTGGAAGCGGTTCTCGCTACCACCGAGGAAATCGCTACCGCAGTAGTGGTCAGAGCGATCGATATGGTGGAATTGACCGCTACCGAAGTGGGGGAGGAGAGGGCCACGGGAGTAGCCGGTCCTATGTAACTTGACAGAAATACGGATCCGATCGATTCGGAGCTCCAGATGGATACACGAATGGCCAAGGATGTGGAGCCAATGAGCCAAGGCGCTCGACTGGTTATCGTTGAGATCGGAACAGGAGCCGAACTGAAGCGCTGCTTCGGCTGCGTTTCCTCACTCGAGGCGATAGATCGGCGTCTGACCGCCCCACCAGTGGCCACCAGGTTCATCGCGATGAAGTAGAATATAGTACACCAACCATTTCTACCACTTGTTCATTCTTTTTTCTCTTTAAATCGTTACCTTTCCTTCTCATAACACCACTCCAATCCTTGGCTTTGACCCCTATCGTTTCTCCCATCTTGCACTGGTCAAATCGAAATTTCACTGCTTCACTCGTTTCTGGACCTCTATTGGTCACGAAAGACTCAGAAAAAGCTTGCAGCAAGCGTTTTCAAATTCTGTCCTGACCTAGAAACAGCTCCAAGTGAAAGGTGTTCCAAGTTTCAACGAAAAATCATGATTTTCTCGGACGAGAAGCATATTTCTCGAAGAATAAGAATATTGTTTCCCACTTCTATGATTATCGACGTGCGAAAATTGCGAATTCTCTCACATCGGCAATTATAGACGCGGAAACAAACATGGACCAAATGGTCGAGCCTTTGTCTCAGCTTCTAAAGAAACCCTGCACGCGCCGAGCCAACGTTCAGATGGCATCTGTCTATTCCAAACGTAGAAGAAATACGCGCATGCATTCAAACGTACTCGTTCGGCTGGCAAGAGGATAGTTTAGACATCCATCCGTCGATTCATTTCAAACAATGTTCGCATAGATGGACAGACGGATCGATGGACGGGCGGCCAGAGCGGCAGTGAAGCGTCACGTGATCCACATCGTACTTCGCGCTGCTCTGCGCTGTACTGTAGTTGGTGCGACTATGGCGACGACGGACCGCGCTCTGTGGTTCCGGTGCTTGAGGTTAGAATGTCCGGTCACTCCCGTCTGTACGGAGGAGCCCACGAGAGAAATTGCCGTTCATGCGTTGTGCTTAGACGCAACTTGAAGAAGCCACGGGTTTTATTTCTAATTCGACAATGACAACAGGCTTCTGCTTCTAAGCTCTACGTGCATCTATTAGAATTTTAGGCTATGAAATCCTTGAGCTGAACTGCGTGGAATGATAGTGATTCTACAGTCAAATGTTCAGCTTGTTTGTTTGATTTCGAGTCTTATAAGCTGTCATGACAGAGCCACAGTAGCTAGGGCTTAAGCCACAAATGCATTCGTTATGCCACTTGTTCTCGTCAGAGTTCTCAATGTAATCTGTACATGGTAATCACGCAAGAACGGACTGGATACAACAGGCTGCAATAGCTTTCACATCAAGAGAGACCTCAAGGACTTCATAAGAAGTCTCTCTACTCATTGTCCATGATCATACTTAAGAGTTTTAGTCAGCTCTTCTGTGAGTCAATTTACCCGTTCAGGACTCAGGTTGCACTCTGGAGTGTTTCTCAGTGTTTTCTCGTGTTTTGTTGCTCGTAGGTTGTGAGTGCTGAAACCCATTGGAGTTTGGATATTTCGGGCGTTGTGCATTTAGATGCACAACGCCCGGATATGCAAGCCTCAGAACAGTTGCTTCGAGAGTACATTATACTAATTGGGGGACGGGACGGGACGGGACCGAAAAGCCAAAGAAGTTTGACATTGGGTATGGCTGCTGCAGAGAGGAAGTGACAAATAAATTTTTTTACCACGACATTTAGATCCATGGACATGTACTTTAAGTGTCACCTGCATAAGCCTACGTTTGTGCCCTGAAAACTCACAAAGGAGGATGGGTGTGCGTTATCAAACCTCCAAGCTACAGGGTAAAGTGCAAATTGCTCGTAGTGCGTGTTTAAGCGATTCGTGACTCGTGACTGAAGGAAGCTGTGAGAAATACACCTAAAACTTACTGCCGTGACTAGGAAAGTAGTATCCGGACAGAAAAAAGTCTCATTCATACATACTCCGTTCCACAAATGTTCAACTTCCTTAATGAGCATGCACGTCTGCAATCCCCTTCAGAGACCAATATTAAGGCAGGAGAAAAACTGAAGGACAACAGCGAGCACCATGTTGTAAGCACATCAGTTGACACGGAGCAGTACTGTAACTAGAACTCCTTCTTCGTGACTTGGACCCCTGTCATCGCTGACAGTTGCGCCTCGTACGAAGCTGAATGTTCCGGTTAAGAGCATTTCACAGATCCTCAAACACTTTCTGGTCATCAGGAGTGAGCACAAACTCATGCTTCATAGGCTCCAGTTTCGAATAATCATCAAAGCATGTAGCATCATCATCCGCCTGCAAGCTCAAATACATTAGGCTGGTTCAATACAATATCCGATGTACATGATCTCTTCTAAACCTTCAACCGTGAAAGGAAAAACTTTTTTCGGGGCTATTTATATAATTGAGTAGGTCCGATGAATGAAAATACTGATGGTGAGTGGAGTGAATAAATTTTAAAGAAAAAACAGGGTAAGAAAATACTTAGGAGCAGATTATTGCAAACATGACAAGTTGGTGCAATACCGAGACTTTAGGCCTTATAGGAGGAGCATCCTTCTTGTTGTAAACGTTGTCCCAGTTTGTAGATGAAAACCATGCATGTGTTTTAATCTCCTCCACTCCATTCTTCAGGCAACCGATTCTGGTCATGACAAACAGACCAGAATGATTTTCAAAAGTTTGCAATGATCCATCAATGGAGTAACGATTCCTACTTCCACGAACAGATACTCAATCGCAACAAGCTTTAATTCTCGATGTCAGTCAATGATTCTGTAATAGTGTAGGATAGGTGCAGAATTTGCAACTTTAATCTTGGCAAAATATTTACACTTGGCCGTTCCAACCCAGCAACCCGGTTTCAGGAGAAAAAGGGAGAAACAAATTTTCCTGTAATATATTTTGGGAATCTTTATTCTAACTTGGGCTAAGCAGTTAAACTAGCTTTCAGCTCTTTGGGTTTAAGTAGTAAAAATGCACCGTTTCGTAAGATCAGCAACCAAGAGCCTCCTGATCAGATCCTTGGCACTGCAGCGCTCATTCCAAGCACGGAATAAAGTTAGGGAAGACTCTCAAGTAGGGAAGCTGGTATTACTGACTAAATATAATCTTTATAATTTGTGGAAATATGACCTTCATTGGGTACACAGCAGATAAAAGTCATTGGTAATTCTAGTGCCATCATTCTTGGCACACTGTTCCAGTTGTTCTGTTTTAGTTCATATTGGTTGCGTAAGCTTTTGGACCATACATAGGGTACTGTATGGGATTACTCATTCGCTAAAAGAGATCATCCTCATGCAACCAATTATGACAACGAACATATTCTTGACTGGATGACTTAAATTGCTTAGACCCTGCGACCTACCTCTCTGAAAAATGTTTTGGGTACTTCACTTCTCCTTTCAGGATTTTTTGATGACATCCAATGACCTCTGCAACCAACCATTTTAGAGTTTAAGATTCTAGTACAGAAGGCAATCTCGTGACCTACCTTCGTGAGAAATGTCCTGGGAAGTTCAATCTTCCACTCAAGATTTTCTGATAAGTGCCAAGGGCGTCTGCAACCAAACATCATACAGCACGTTCGCTTATGGTATCCAAGCCTACCCACGAACCCGAGACTGTTTCTCAAACAATCACTCTGATACAGTTCAAAGTATGTTCAATATGTGCTACATTCTCCTTATCTTTTGACCTACAAGAACAAATAAGGTCCTCATGCAATAACCCTTAATAGCTTGAAAGTTTCACCAAGAGATACTACAGGCAAGAACCGAACCATCATCATAGAAGGGTGGATAGCCAGCCAGCATCTCAAAAATTAGTACGCCATACGCCCACCTGCTCGAAAAAAATTGAAGATATCTTCATTATTGATTTGTAGTCTGAAGTCTTATCTAATGTTGTTGTGTTCAGATACGACAAACATGCACGAAGACACCTTCGGAAAACTCGTGATATACCTCACCGTGATTTAACCATTGTAATTCTTGAGGTTTCAAGTCTCACCAGTCTACCGGTTTTCCATGACCTTTGTTGAGGATGATTTCTGGTGCTAAATAATCAGGTGTCCCTGAACAGTTAACGAAAATCTAAATCAAGGACGTCATGGAAGAAAATCAGCATCGAGGTCTACACTAACCATTTATATGACTGTTACTTGCTTATATGGTGCACATGAACTGAACGATCACTCTATCGTTCTAGTTCTTTTGGAACTCTTTTCTCATATACTTTCAGGACATTGCACTCAGCCAGGAAGGACCAGGCAATTACCACATAATGTGTATGTTCTTCGATCAATCTGCTTGGCAAACCCAAAATCGGCAATCTTGATATTCCCCTTGTTATCAAGAAGCAGATTCTCGGGCTGTACACACCCACAACTTTTCGGGTTTTGATTGGCACATCAACTAAAAACAAAATTATACTTTTTACAGCTGGCTCTCCAGTGTTCGTTACAGTGGAAGAGAGTGTCCATGTACACGTACAGAAACAAGTATTCACGAGCAATATGTTATGCACCTTTACTTTGTGAAATAAAAAGGAAGAATTATTACATTTCCACTTAAGCTGCACCCAGTGCACACACAACTTATGCACAAGGATAAGCTTACCGTCTGCTTAACATTTGACAGGCTACTGCCAGTTTTGTCAAGCATAGTAAAGGAAGAGTACCTTTAAATCTCTGTATATGATGTCCATCCCGTGAAGATACTCAAATGACAGGAGAACTTGTGCTGCATAAAATCGCTGCCAGCCACAATGTGGTTACTAGCAACCGTCAGGAACCAAGGAGCATAACACAAGTGAACTCATCGGTTTTATAGGGTTATTTTTGTTGTCCTGAGTATTTGATCCACGCAATGAGTATCTGGGAGTACCGGGTTCACTAAGTGAACCCGACCTAAACTATGAAGCGTAATGACCATAGCGGTTGGCAAAGTAGGTGGATTTACAGATATCCAGAATCAACCGTCTGGACAAAGTTATGAATTATTAACGCATAGCCAAAGCATTGACGTATGAGGCAGTGTGTTTTGAGGATAGCCTCCTCAAGCTCGATCCTGTATCAAAATCTGGAAAGGGTTGATCCAGAAGGAGGGTTGTAGCCAATTTATGAAAAGATTAAAAAATTGTGAATAAAAGCAGAAAGCAAGACAGCAGCATTATGGATCCATATGGTAAATATCGGGAATACATATTACTACACGGACCCAATCACCATACCCCCCCTAACCCGTAATCGTAGACCAGAAAAGGTTGACTTTCCGTTTCTAAATAGCTTCTCATCCGTGCTGAGACAATTTTGTCAACCTGACTGCAACGAGCAGAGAAAATCAAATTTTTGAGTTCCAATTTCTGACCAGAGAGCAAATGCCAACACAAATGACCATGAGTTACCAGGACCTCTCTTCTTATGAGAACGAAAAGATTAAGCTGCTCGTAGCTTCAAAGTAATCAATAACGCTATGAAGGCGAGCTGCTTTGATGCAAGAAGATAAGATACATCTTGATGGCCCTTTTGCAGCAGAATCTCCGGATAACGAGGCAATTTACACTTTCAAATCCGAATACAGAGTACGTACCATATAGCCTATTCAGCTCTTTCCTAACGCTAAAGGTACTTGTGGGATGTTGTATACATCAGATCAGATGCAGCTCGGTTTACCAATTGGGACTGAGTTTTTGTAAGAGGTGGGAAGTTGCAAAGCTCGCATCTATTTCGACGGCAGCTTTTGCATATAACATGGCCCACATGTGCCCTCAACGCAAATAAGAAGTTACATATGGTAACATAATCTCTTCTTAAAATCTCTGTTGATAGCGTGAAACAGAAGATGGCGACTTCAGCTGCTCAGAAGTGTTGGTGTAAGCTTTCTCCTGTCATTCTAGGACGCTGGTGAGGAGTGTAAACCTTAGCTTAACACATGAGCGCCGCCTTCTCTTGCTGAGGAACCTGGGTAGATGTTTGCTTGGAAAGTAAATTCTTTTCTTTCCTTACACAAGAGGATTAACATACAATGATAACATAAATAATTCATCGAAGAAAATAGGAAATTAGCGAGGCCTCAGCAGCAATATATACGTGCGACATCAAGACACTCACTGTAGTCTGCTCATCAAATCTTCCGGTGCTGCGAAGATATGTAAAAAATTCACCACTGCGCACATGAAAAACAAGGTCAGAAGACTGTTGGAAGACTTAACCTTACGTGACCTGTTAGAAGCATAAGATTATTTGCCGAAACGGTTCTTTGGAATGAGTTTCAGAAGATGCCACGACTGCTGTCTTTCGTTTAAGGTTTCCGCAAGTAGAAAGTCTAGCTCGTACACTACAGAACAGTGGCAACGAAACAAAAATCTAGCACTCGTCTTCCATATGATCAAATTTGTACTCTCTGAGGTCCCTTGGAGCAAGGAGCTGATCATTTGCAATTCAGATGGAGCATCAGAAGAGGAACTAAGGACACACTCAACATAGAACTCACCCGCAGACGTACTCCAGTACAAGATGAACGCACTTATCATCCTGGCAACAGCCAAACAAGTTGACGATAAACGGGTAATCTATTTTCTGTAATATTCCCTTCTCTTGCTTCACGTGGATGACCTGCAGTCCGATAGGTAGTTAGTGATCACAAGGAATGCTCGTTCGAGTGATAGAACACGTAACATGCATACTTGAAAAGAGTAAGGTTGTTGTAGTCATTCACATTTCCAAGACAATTGTTACTAAGTGGTGAAGTTACTTAATCCAGGTGTGCGTTCTGGTTCGAATACAAACCTGTTTCGTCTTTAATATCGAAGCCTTCGACAGGGACTTTGTCGCGCACACAAGGTTCTGTACCTGTGGTTGGTAATGAGCTAAATGTACACGACCGAAGCTGCCTGTCCCTAAGCACGGGCCTAATTTGAAATCCGGGAACTTCGGCCTCTCCAGCCATACCTGTGCATCGAAACATAAGTCCATTAACTGCTGGGCATATGGAATCTAATAACTTGTAGACAACAATGACCACGAAAGGTTACCACTAAACAGAAAATTCTCACCTAAGACTTTATACCGCCTCGTTCCCAAAAATTTATTACTCAAAAGCCTATCTTATAACATACACCGCAACAAGCATATATCTGCGATCTATTTTTACTGAGTGCCCAGATACGAGACATATCAGACCTTTGATCTGATAAACAGCGGAGGATGCTCTTCGGGTCGTGCAGAGAAAGAACAAGAGAACAAAGGAAAATCATTCGACCGCATTAAATTTGTATGCCTGAGCTGCCCATTTAACCGACATACAGAAAAGCATGTCCAAGACTTTGGCAAATTGCAAAATATTCGCAAAAATGCTCCAAGGACTGTCAACAAGCCTGGGATTCTTAGATGACAAAAAACACGGACATGAAACTTGTAGCATTACAGGATTCTTGTGCGTGGTTTACTGGCAAGTGGATTTATAGAGAGCGAGGTTGTGATGATAGATAAAAATCTTATAAGTTCTTTGCACTGAGAACATCGCCTGTGAGATCACTGAGAGACAAAACAAGAAAGAGATAATCAGCTTGAAGTGAAGCAGGTCGTGACGATAACAAGAAGAAGGTCGAAACAGAGCACCAGGCACAATGCTCAGGAGATCATTTGACACTGAAATACTGGCCATTGCAGAGGATCGCGAGAATCATATGGCAAAGCCTCGATCACCGGACTACCTTATGCCTGGGTTGTACTGGAGCAGATGCACTTCTGGAAAGAGCGGATGCTGCGGGTGGATGTTGTGGGTGGTTGTACTGAGCAGGAGCACTTTCTGCTCTTGGTTTACCACCGGGAGGCGGGGTAGCCGCAGGGCTCATGGCCCCGGCCCCCTGGCTTTGCGTGAATAGTTTGTTAAACATTGGAGCAAACTTTTGTAAGTGAAAATGTTCGCGAGAGACTAAAACTCCAAAGCAGGCTTCTGCGTCATTCAACCTCGTCGACTTTCGACTAACGGGCTACTCGATGAGCCTCGTCGCCAATTGGAAACTGTGATCAATGCAGTCTTTCATGACCACGATCATGGTATTCTGATTCCGCCGCGGAGATCCAGCCATACACAGAGTCCGCCCGCCCGCGGGCTCCCACGGCTCAATATCGCTCCTTCAAGTCCTCGGACTCGATTCAACTCGGTTCATATTGATTCGAGTCGAATGGTTCGTCCGAGACGAGACGAGGCGAGGCGGGGCGGGGCGCGGCCATTCCAAGGCGCTTGACGAGCCTGCGTCTCGTCGCGCCTCTTCCTTCTGCTGGTGCTCATCTCTCAGGCCTTTTTCGCAAGAGGGCAGCTATTGTGAAACTCGGGGGCCGACACTTCGCACATTGCACCTCTTCCCTCCGGCACCAAGAGATCTGTGGGGCAACACCACGGCGGCAGACTGCCCTCTTTGCGACAGGTGTCACTCCCCCACAACGTTCTCGGCTTTCTCCTTCCCAAAGATTATGGAAGAGTTTTCCCGCAAGTTTTCGATCCACCTCTTCTCCGACGACACCACATTCCGCAGATCGTTTGGATGATTCCTGAATCGTCAGGGCTCTTTGACTGTGACGGACTCCAGCGGTTTCAACTTCGACAGCTCTTTGTAGGACTCACCACCCCGCTCGGTTCTAGTAATATTGTCATGTCTGCCCCAGAGCCTCTCTTCCGGGGGAGACAATCACAAAAGTCCCCCGATTGAGAGGAAGGACCTGGATGTCAAGTGGCATGCCACGTATGTGACAACAGGGTTCCAGCTCGGCTCGTGACCTCTGCCAAGGAGGGCTCCGGTGCACTTTTGAAAAGACTTATTTGGAGTGACCATAAATGAAACTGGGCTGGATATGCTAGCCACATTAGATAGCATGAACCCATAGCAGCTTAGAAAAATAAACCATCACTTAAGATGTATGCGATCTCATTTGTCATGTGATTGATACTCTGTTCAATTTGGTTACATACCTTCGAGTTTATGGTAAATTCTTACTAGCTCGATGGTTCTCTCATTTGGTGCTCCACGCCCAAAAGAGTTTTTTATTGCTATATTTCTTGGTACAGTACATGATCAAAGGTTTAACCCAAGTTCTTCACAACCTCTTCCTTTAACTATAGTAGATTTTGATAATATGAACGGTCTATATCAATCTATTGCAAACCAGGTTAAGGGTTATTGTACACGCGTTGCAATGTTCAATCATCAAACGTCATATATCAAGGTGTACAGTTTTCGGGCTTCTCGTCATTGATCAATTTAGAATAGACATGACGTCGAATCTAAAAGTACATCCATTTTAATTGCACTCCTCTATGGTCTTCTGTGTGAATCCAATATTAAAAGTCGATGGCAGTAGGAGAAAATTATGACATAAGCTCATGAACAAATCAAGTTAACAGGTTGGATCTAAGATTTCTTTAAAAGTGATACTTGGAACTTTACCAATACATTCTATGAGCATTTTAAATGTTATGAGTTAAGTCATAACATATAACTGAATTTAACTTCGGTAGATTAATTCCGGTTACTTACGGTAATTAGTGTCTTAGTTCATAAATAAAAGCTTATCAAACCTCTTATTGATATAGTATTTTGAATCTTTATCAGTAAAGTCTATTGTGTTCCAGTAATGGTGAAACCCTTATTCAGTTGTCAGTTATTTGTTTGTGTTTCACTGTGAGAAATCTAGTAAAACCTGTTCCTGTCTATTAAAAATTTAGACCACATGCATTGACTCTATTCAAGTTTTGTAAAATATCAAAGTTACTGTTTATGAAATTCATATGCACATTTTAATACACATAAATCTAGTGGGTAATTGTAGCAAATATGCGTTCCTACAAAAGGTATGCAATTATATATAATTTATGATTCTATTCCAGGTATATATTTTGTAACCCACTAAGGTGTGGAACAATTCAAATTGATGCAATTTGTCAGATAAATAAAGATTACAACGAAGAATGAATAAATATGATAGATTTGCAGATGTGTATCCATCAAGGCAATTCTTACTATCTTTGTTACAATTGTAAACGTTTCTTGGCCTTCAGCCATATGATTATTGATAATTATTCCCATATAATAATTAACAATATCATATAAAGAGTATTTGAAGACCTAAATTTCGTAATCACATTGCAAGTTCAAACAGCCATTCAAAACTATATAGAAAATTTGTCATAGAGTGTGAGAAGCTATCCGAATCACACAGGTGGAATTATAGGTTTATCTGCATTAAGAAATTTAACAATCTATTGATTTTGATTTTCAATATATTCATCTAAAAGAAAGCTTAAAAGGAATCTAAAAGGAATCAACTAAAAGGAATAAGATATTGTTGCAATTCTTAGGAGAAATATTCAATAATTTAATAAGGTAAAAGCAGGCAGAGCAAGAACTGAATGTAACTGAAATCTACTCTGATCTCTCGTTCAAGTAAGGTTTCACTTGTCACTTAAGTACATTGATTTCAGAAACATGGGCGTTTATCAATCTGTTAAATTTCACGATTGTTTTTTATGTGAAGCCCAATCGTAACATATAAACGTGTAGATATACACGGTATTCCTTCCACATATGGACAATTTATCGCTCAGCTTTCTATCATTTTTCTTGATAAAGCAATGGATCTATTCACGATCTACGGTGAGTTGTTAATATTCACATGGATCGAATATATCTTCCATGTTGCCTTCCTGTTCATGCATTTGTACCTCACACGACGAAGATCATGACTCATGTCAAACTATCATCTATGAAGTATCTGTGCCGATTTTATAAGCTGAAAGCAAAGAAATTTAGATCTAAGTAGATCTTTCGAAGCAAATCGACTGCATAGTGCATACCATGTTACAGGAGGGCACGTCATGTGCACTGCCATTTCGGTCACTGCGTAATTTGCTTCTTACTACCAATGAAAGTCTCATGGATGTCAATTTGACTTCCTGGTTCAAACCTCTGGGTCAAACTAAAGACGCTCGAAATGAATGATGTCTCGTCGATGCAGATGAACATAACCGAACTACGACGGATGTGATGCTTGACGTGACACTCTTTATTATCGAAGACCCTACCCTCTCCTCGTTTCTCATTTCAATATGCCTCGAGAGTAGAGACTCATGGGCCCTTTCATTCGTCCCGTCTGAGAGTAGACAAGTGAATAATCATTCGCTTGCTAGTGCTTCAGAACGACTACAGATTCCTCATGGTGTAGCAGTCAACATAGTGCTTATCCCCAGTCCAAAGTATCCCAACTCCTTTTGGAAATGGATAATCTGTGTCTGGTAATTGACGTGACAGTTGGAAGTTCTGTTTTATTCGAGGTCAGAGTGCTGATACTATATGTGAGTTTGACCTTTCAAGATCTACTTCAGTGCTCGAGGAGGAGGGTTCCAACGTAGGATGAACTTTTACCCATGATAAATGAGTGAATGAAAAGTGGGAATCTGTTTGTAAGCAAAACACAAATTCAAGTTTAAACAACCTTATACAAATCTTCTGCGCAGTTTTCTTCAAAACTAAAAGTAGAGTCTTACTACTGCCTCTATTATCTAGAAAAAATTTATTATTAGGGTTTTAAATATTTAGAAACTGAATAATACAGCGAAACATGATGGGATTATTTCATAAGTATTGAATGAACGAAACCAAAGGCCTAGAATGAAGCAAGGGCCCAATATAATCGAAATAGGAAACATGTGCTAATTAACCTTAAAGATAATAAATAAAAAAATGGATTGTTTATGTAATTGTAAAAAATCCTTTCAAGTGATTGGTATCCAATGAATACACGTGCATACTATACATTACATATATGAAAACGTAATTGGTATCCATGTTACATAGTATGGTAACTTTGTGAACACTCACAATTGTGTAAGTCTGTCATCCATATATTCCAAAGTTACAGCAATAAAATAAATAAACTTTCTGCACACACCCGTCTAATACAGACTATGCTATTCCACTAGCCTACTCCAAAACTATGTTCAGTATTTCGATGCCTTATTTTCGATACATTCACCAAAGTTAATTCCATAGACTGTACACACATTATTTCTTCCGAGCAAAGCACTACATCACAAATGGTGACAAAACAATCTATTTCTTTCAGTTTCACGTAGCTCTTTTCCAGAGTCTTGTACCCAGATGCATGGAGGAAATGATGATGATTAACAAAAGGTCCTAAGAAGAACATGTCTGCGATGAGTTCATGTGGGGTCGAAGGCCCGAAACTGTTGTCCCTGAAGCACAATGATCAGGACAAGAGGGAGGTTAAACCCCCTCGGAAAGATCACGTGATGGTCTGGATTTACCTGTACTATACAGCAACATGATGATTGGGCATGCCATCACACAAAGTGACACCTCGTCTCCTGACATAAGACACAAGAAGGGTTCATTGAAGAGGTGCATCTCTTTATTACATACTCAAGCAAAAGCTGCGAAGAATATTCAAGTAGATCTATGTAGGAGGAATCCAGCAGGATGATGAGGATAACTGCTACTGCAAGCCACTCCCCTCCCCCTAGTTGATGGGAAAAGGCAATGCTGGGTATGTGGTTGTCATAGGCTCATATAGTGGGTCAGGATGAGCGACTGCTCATCTTACCGTTTCCTGCTATATTCAGCATGCAACTGAATGCTGTGGGCCGTGGCATACACACGCTGGCGACAAATCAAAAGTCCAGAAACGCTTGCAAGCTCTTTCAAGACGAAAGAAAAGCGTAGAAGAAGAGCAGAGCATGCAAACGACATGTGAACTCTCATGTTCTAAGAGGATGCGTGGGAATGTTTGCCATGACTCTGTAACTGATTGCTTACGTCTAGACTTATCGGTGTCTGTTCAAAGTCTCCTACGTGAAAATAAAAATGTTAACTAAACACTCGGATTTCCTATGGAGGACTACACAAACCTTCATACTAATAACCCTATTGGTACATGCCTTCTGACATTGGTAACCATTTTTTAATTTGGTGGGGCACGAAAGGGGATTCAATTCGTGTTCCTACTCTCCCTGCCACCTAATTCTAGAAAGACCTTCTCCTCGTTTCAAGAAATTTTCTTTAAGTCTAAGTTTCACAAACAATCCAAACTGTTAAGTTTCTGTTAATCAAGAAGGGCGAAAAAGATCTGATCTAACGTAAGTGGTAACACTTCAAACAATTTTGGCGGCCCTTATATAGATGCAACATCTTCAGAGAGCCATGACAATAGTAGACGCTTCTTGTGGTTGAAATACTTTGCCAGTCAAAAAGCAAAGAAATTGAAAAATGGCACTTTAGAGATATTTAGGTGACAATACAATTCAAACTTTACTGAGAGTTCCTAATATGGAAACTGACCCGAGTAGACAAAATGTTCTCGGTGCATACCAGAAATGTCTGCTTTTGGCAATCTTTGTAACAATGCGGTAGAGTAGAATGTCCGATACTATACTATCGAGATTCTACATCGGTGAAAACCCGCAACCTAGGCACGAGTGTGCACACACAATGACGATCACTTCCAGCTGCATGTAAAAAAGTCGACGAAAGGACTGAATTCAAGATGTAAAAGATTGTAGGGACTTTTTTGGTTGCGGGTGGCGTTTCAGAATCAAAAACGTCAAGACACTGGTCCAACAGATGTAATCCATTGTAACCTCCAAGACGAGGTCTCCCCGCAACGGACTGGACTCTCTTCCGCACTCTGCTTAGGTCACTGATAGTGGAAAGTCGGAATACGAACAAGGATACGTTTGGATTTCAAATGTTACACGCATGATCGTTGTTCGTATCACAACGAGAAACGAATCCTAAAGTGAGAAGACTCGACGAGACACTTATCTTCAGGAGACGACACTGCACTAAGAAATACATGGCGGCCGACTTTGGTCACTGCAGACAGGGAGATAACAACGGAAGCTCACGCAGAACACGCACCAGACGAAGTGCAGAAATAAAAAACGCATCCGCTCCAAAAAGCACCGGCGGAAAGAACAAGTACACGCTTACAACTGCGAGCCGAAGTGAGAAATGATTCGTCGAAAATTGTCCAACCAAGCTCTATTCCAAGGAAGGTCGTAAGAAATAATTTATTGAAGCCTCAAGTCCCTAAATATATTGCCTATCTACAGTACACGGGTCCTCTCGACGCTAACTAGGGTACACCGGCGGGAGCGACGGGCTTGCGACTGCTGCTGCTGTTGTTGTTCGAGCTGCTGTTGGAGCCATTGTAGGTATCTACTAAACCGTCGACCAAGACTTTGTGGGCGATTTCTTTCTCGGCTGCGTCCTTGGACAGGTCCCGCGGCGGGACGGGGTAGTTTCCCGTGAAGCAGGCGTCACAGAAAGTCGGGGCTTCGGTGCCGAGCATGTCTCTCAGTTTCTCCAGCGGCAAGAACGCGAGCGAGTCGGCGCCCACGAATTTTCTCGTGTCCTCCACGTTGAGTCTGTAGGAGATGAGCTCCTCTTTGGAAGGAGTGTCCACTCCGTAGTAACACGAGCCCAGGATGGGCGGACTGGCGATTCTCAAGTGCACCTCCGTCGCTCCAGCTTCCTTGATCAGCCTGACAATCTTCGACGACGTAGTTCCCCTGACGATGGAGTCGTCCACCACCACCACCCTCTTGCCTTGCAGCACGGGGCGCACGGGAGCGAGCTTTAATTTTACCCCGAAATCCCTGATCTTTTGTGAAGGCTCAATGAATGTGCGGCCCACGTAATGCGATCTGATCAAACCCTGCTGGAAGGGAACCCCGGCTTTCGCCGCGTAGCCCAACGCAGCCACGACTCCGGAGTCCGGCACGGCGATCACGACATCGCACTCCACAGGGGCCTCTGTGGCCAAAATCTCTCCGAACTTGTACCGAGACTGATACACCGATAGACCAAAAACGACCGAATTCGGCAGAGCGAAGTAGATATGCTCGAAAATGCACGCCTTGCGTTGCCTTTGCGGCATAAGGCACAGCGAGCTGATTCCGTCCTTGTCGACAACCACAACCTCTCCAGGGTGTATCTCCCTCTCGTACTCTGCTTCGATCAAATCCAACGCACAAGTCTCGGAAGCAAAGACGACAGCTCCGTTCTTGCGCCGCCCCATTACCAGGGGGCGGAATCCATAAGGGTCCCGAACCGCAACGAGCTTATCCTCAGTCAAAAAGACCATCGAGTAGGCACCTTCCAGCTGCTGGCAGGCGTCCACAAGACGCGCAATAAAAGGCCGGGCCTTGGAGATGGCAATTAAGTGAAGAACCACTTCCGTATCGGAAGAGGTGTTGAAAATGGAACCATCTTCCTCCAACATAGTCCTGAGCTCGTTGTAATTCACCAGGTTTCCATTATGAGCCACTCCCACGGATCCGAATCTGTACCCGGCCACGAAAGGCTGCACGTTCTTCAGCACGGATTCTCCAGCGGTGGCGTACCTCACGTGTCCGACGGCGGACGAGCCCGGGAGCTGAGTGAGCTTCGACTGGTCAAAAACCTCCGAGACTAACCCCATGCCCGTGACGGAATGCAGCGAGCGCTCATCACAAGTAACAATGCCCGCCCCTTCCTGCCCCCTGTGTTGCATCGCGTGCAGAGCCAGATACGCGAGCCGACTGGCCTCGGAATCGCCGAAAATGCCCACCACTCCACACTCTTCCCGCAGCATATCGCCATCTTCCTCGTCGTCCTCATCGTCACCGCCGCGCCTGCCTGCGAGCCATCCCACCATGGGATTCGGCTCCTCCTCGACCACTTCGGCAGCGCCCGCAGCAGCAGCAGAAGCCGAAATTCCCCGCCGAGCCGACTGCTGCCCATACCCTGCTCTGTCTCCGCTGGACGAATTCACCGGCAAGTCCGCCGCGGCGGACAATCGACATCGCAGATCGCCTGCAGCTCGTTGCGCTCTTCCTTCAGCAGGTCCGACGACACTCACCACCCTCCTCGAGAAGAGCTCGTTCCCTCCAAGAAACCTGCTCCTGCCGGAAGCAACAGACTGGGCCTCCAGACCCAGCGCAACATTGCTCGTCGAAAGTGCGGTGGCCGCCATAAGGACTTGCCCCTCCCTGCACTTCAGAGCCTGCGAGTGACAAAGACCAACTGATCCTTCCTTTCCTTTCTACTACTGCCCCCCTCCCCCCACGACCTCCGAGCTCAGCTGCGATCCGCTTTACTCTGCTCTGCCCTGCTCTGCTGCTCTCGTGGCAACCTTCTCTGCTCTTCTCGTATGATCTCAGCTCCTTCTCTCCCTCACCTTCCTTCTCTCGCGTGTTCTGTTTCGGTTCCCGGTTCGTCCCCTGGAACCACGCGACCATAAACCCTAAACATTTCACAATCTCGCAGTAGCCTGGGAACTGCGTCAGACGGCTGACGCCGTCGAGCGAGTTTATCTTGGGAGGGAGCTCTTGTAGGGGCGTGGTGGCCCCCATGCTCCTGGCGGGACAAGATACCGAACTGTGCGAGGGGTTGCTTTGGGATCTTGGGTTTGATTCTCGAGAACAGAAACTGGACGAGGAGAGGAGGCCATGTACGGGACACGTAAATCCGGCCTCCATCTCCATGCCCGTGCGGCGACTTCGCGACGGCTGCACGCAGTCGTCGCGATCTGGGGGAAGATCGTACTGCCGTAGAGTACCGAGGGGCAGCCCGTCAGAGGCTGACACGTGGAGAGGAAGGGCCAGATGCTGAATTGTTGTAAAAGCGTCGACTGTTCGATCCCTGTCGCGATGTCGACCGGCGACGTCCCAGTACGGCCTTTGGACTGCTGTGGCTGTCGTGGTTGCCCTGGGGAGGGAGTTGCAAGTCTTCGAGGGTGGGAGGGGAGGGGAAGGGAGGGGGGCGGAGACTGGGACGAGCTGAGCTGAGATGAGCTCGCCCATGGCATATGCGGATAAGGTAAGGGACACGCAAGTCGTAAACGGTTACAGTCTAGGGGAGCTCGCACGACGGGAGCTGCTCATATTTCACGTGTGTCCGGGTGCAGATTTTTGCAAGCTCCAGTCTCGACGACTGTGCGAGGCCCGCGACTCCCGGTAGCCGGAGTTGGCGCTGGGGTGTCCCGGACCAGAACTTTCCCGCTGGTTGCTTTCCCTCGACACTCTTGCTTCAACGTACTTTCTCCCGTCGTAGCTGCCGGAGCAGTCTTCACAGTGGATCCGGCACGATGAACAGCTCCAAGGATTCGATCTCTGAGTTTAGGTTCGGTGTATTCAAGATAAGGGAGGAGAGGGGGAGAGAGCGCGAGGAGAATGGGTTACTGAAGTTTAAGGTACAGCGGCTACTGAGTAATTACAGTGCTTATATGATCTTTTGTTCTTTAGCCATGAACACCAGCAGTGTCGTTGCATAGTTAAGCTTTCTATCTTTCTCTCTTTCACTCTCTTGAACCAAGGTTTCAACTCGCCGCCTTTGACTCCTGCGGCATTTCTCAACATCATATCAGAAGATGGGCAGGTGATGGAGACATCTGTCACGTGATAGGGTGGGTAGGGATATGAAAGAGATATTTTTCCCTTCAATGTGCCGAAGATTCTATGTTTCGGTGGCTTATGCTTAGGTTCTCGGTGACAGATTTTTCCAACCACCCTCTTCCCCTACAGCTTCACCGAAATCTCAGCGGAATTTTAGTCTTGCATACTTCCCATCAATCTATACCAGACTTCCGATTTTCCAATTCGGTATCGCATGCGACCAACAATATCACACTCTTGATATACATACAGGATTAGATTTTTTCGATGTAAAATAGCCCAGCAGCCTTCTCATTATTTTCCTCAACAACGTCAGTGAAAACAGTCATCTAACACATTTCTTACGTGAGATATTGAACCGAAGACTAATTATGGTGCATGCGATGTGCGCATCCAGCCAATCATGCAAACGTTGCTGTCAAATTGGTCTGTACAGTTACAGGTGGAGGTTTCCCTCCTCAATAACCTGTAGGCATCTCTGGAGGAATGCTGTACAGTGGAATCAAGTGTGTCATGCGTACTGGTGATATGAGAACTTTCGATGTTTTTGAGGGTAATTATGGCTAAAAACGTTCGCTCTCATTGGCATTCAATCCCTGCCGGATCTCAAACCTCGTCAAATGCTAGGAGTTGCCCGGTTAATAGTCTCAGCGTACAACATGACTTCACACAGGACTTGTACATGTAGCACCCAAAGATCTGGGATCGCTTATATGAAGACGATGTTTAAGTGAGGAATTCATGCATCTGAAGATGAAGTGTTTTTGTTCTCAAAGGCAATTCGCTGGAATGCCTGTCTTGTTCCCATTCCTTACATTAATCATCTACCTTTGAACCTCTAGAACGCAAATTTTGATGTTCTTTGCGTGGTGGTTGGACAAGGTGGTCACTGTACAGAAAAAACCGATAGGTGTCTTAGTTTGTACGTTATCTTGATTATCTAGGATAAGTTCAATCTTTAGTACCACTAAGTACAGGGATATCAGCGCCACTTGAAGACTGGAATCTTACTTGAACTGAATAATTCGGTGGACTTTCTTGCGTTCAGACTATATACAAGTATATTTTAAATGGTGCATTAGATATGGATTGTTCTGCTCAACTAGGGAAATTGAAGAAATCCGCGCTTACATTACGACATGACAGAGTAGACTCACAGATGTATGACAGATTTATTTTACAGGCACATCGACGTTGGCTTTCAAATGATTGGATCGCCGTCATAGTCCGGTCCTCAATGCTCAAAATCATCTTCAAGATCTTCAGACAAATGCTTCAACATCTTCATTTCAAACGCTGTTTGCATGAAAAGACATGGTCGACGCTTCATCACCTGCTGATTTCAAAAGGACGGAAAGGTCCATGAGATCCGAAGTAAAGTAAGCCCCCTTTGGCACGAAGCCCCAGTGACAACAAGAGACGGAGGCCTACAGTTAAGGGGAACCGACCGTAAATAACATCTATCATGAAGACATGATCATTGAAGGAACACCCAACGATTTCTCCATTTTACTGAAACCCATCAAAACCGTCAACGAGGCCGACTTAAGTATCAAGATATAGAACGAAGGCTTCAAAAGCACCATCCTCTTCCCTCAGAGATGCTTTCCTGCAGCTGATCTCCTTCATCAAATGATCTCTATAATCACCACAAAGAAGCCATTACAACACCCGGAACCCACTTGACCTCCACTGCGTGAGAATAGTCTCGAATCCAACCATAATCGGCAATAACACAGTCTATTTTTCGGTAGTCACAGAGCCAAAATAGTCAAGATGTGCACCGTAATTGCGATTTCTTGAGGGTGTCTTCAGGTTCAAGGACTTAATAGTACTAAAAAGGCTGAAATCAGGTAGAGCTTGCTGATCCTGAAGAAACCCACCGCAAAACTTTCGCTTCCTTATCTTCATCAAGAAGGCAGTGATCAGATCATACACTTCACCCTCTTCCTATCACATTCAAATGGAGTGGGTACAAGATGGTCAACAAGTTCTTAAAGACATAGTGCTTTAAGAATCCTATGATCTGGAGTTCAACTGCTACGTAGCTTTGCTGATACCAACTCAACTGATTAGGAGGTGGACAGCTCCAACAACTCAAATTTGTGACAAAGTTCTCTGCAACGCATGGCCAAAGTACTCTCCGGCAAATGATGCCAAAGATAGATTCGCTGGCCAGCAATTATTGGTGGACTAACTGGAGATCCACTAAGCCGTTTGATTTTGGTCGGGATATCAAGAAAGAAAGGATCTATGTGGTATGTGTCAATGGGGGGAATTCAAGCTAACTTGTATTCCTCTCTTCGCCCGATCCTGCTCTTGTTTCCGCAATATATAGCAATAGTTCACCTGCAACAGAACGGAACGTCAGATTTCTCATTCCAAAATCTATTTCAAAATTTTGTTTTAAAACACTTGGACGTGAAATCTCAGAAATAATGAGGGAGACTTCGATCTACCGACAGTTCTATTAGTAAGTAAAATATTGAATGGCACAGTATATGGGAGCCTCTAAACGCACCTCGAGACGGAAGAGCTTTGTAGGGAATACAAGCCCAGCACCGTAAGAAACACGGAAAGTATCCAAGAAACCCTTAAACGAAAATTTTGGGCGATCCTCCCCAGTCAGTGGTACTAGGTTTCCAGCACATGCGAACGCATGCGCGTGAACACCCCATTCCCTCAATATCCTGACTGGCAGGTCCATTGATAGATCTACAAAACTTGAAACTGCGAAATCTCCACCCAAAGTATCCACCATCGGCGGTCTTTCCTCTGCACCAGCTTCGGCTTGTGCAGTCGGTTGAGGAACAAGCCTGGCAGCATTCGGACCTACACCTCTGGTTCGGAAACCCAAAAGAGCCGATGGCCCTTTCAAATTTCCAAGCAATGATGAATGACCTCCCATAAAATATCGATCACTAATTGGGGTCGCTTTTGAAAGAAAATTAGGTCCCCATGGCATGATGATACCCCCAGCAGCGCCAAAATTCAAAGCAGCATTCATAAATCCCAAAGGAACGGCGTATCTTAGTTCAAACTCCTGCGCACAGAAGGGGGACAGCACATGGTAACAACGTAAGACAAAGGAAAATACGTATATTGATTCCTCTAAAAATTTAGCCGAATTTTAAACCGGTTTTTCTTATCGATCAGGTCTCAACAGAAGACACCAAGAACTCAGATGAAAGGGCCTGCATAGTTATGATAAACACATAACAGACGGTTGCTTTTGACAACGTGAAAAACGGGGACAGTCACTTGAAACACTAGTAAGAAAAAAAGAGCAGACGGAGACATAAGCCAAGAAAACTTTCTCTGCAATAATTTGCAGAGAAGCAAATCTGGTCTTGGTTCAGATGCTGTAGCAATTTTTCTTTCTGAAAGGAAATGAGAGTACATTGGCAGTGATCTCCAAATCTTCTAAGGGACTGACAAGATGATAACAAGCTAACCATCTCATTTTTGGTGATGTACGTATGCAACCTAACCAAGGTATTCGTAGACGGAACATCTCTGTGCGATGATTAGAGACTTATGTGGACAGCGTACCTCAGTCAACAAAAAAGAGAAAAGAAGTGCACAGAGCAGTTTTTACCTTTGTCTTTGTGACTTAAAGCTCCAAAACAAACTCTCATCCGTTTCTAAGGAAGCAACCACTTTCTCGATCATCGTTCGGCAGTGTTCTAATGTAATTTCCAAAAAAAGAATAACATACTGACTCGCATACTACCAGGCTTTACTCTTCATCCTATGGAAGTAAGCAAGGACTTTTAGTCCAGTTTATAGTTAGACTTGTTTTAGTAACGTCTGAAAATGAATACTCGTCTGTGCACATTTTCCACGAAAGAAGAAACCTCTTCTATAGAGTTCATGGAAAGATCCGGACCAAAAGATCCGGACCATTCACTGGACCTACCTCACCTCAAAACATGAGGATGGAGTAGTCTTTAAGACTCCCATAAGAAGGAACAAATTACAAGCGAAAGGCCCAGGTGGACATCAGGAGATATTATAGTTCTACAGACTCAAACGACGTCCAGTGTTCCGAGTCGCAATATATCTGACTTTTCGTTTTTGTATTGACTTCTCTCAAATCAAACTATGGGAACATCAGAAGCATTCAAATTGTTTGCAATGAAAACGCACATCCTGTGGAAGAAATTTGGCCATATATTTTGTTGGGAGAAATAGGTGTAAACCCTAAACAACGTCAAGGACATACCTGTCGGGCAAATCTCAACAATTTGTCATCAGGTCCAAGTCCAGCAAGCTGAGAAGAGGAAGTGAATGCGAATCCCTGTGTAGGCCGCATAGCAGAATCTCTCTCGTCAACCTTGTAAGTATACTTCACGGAAGACAACAGATGATGTCCCAACTGCCTTCTGATAGCATGCGATGCTTGACGTGTGGGATCCTCCAGTTCTCGCCATGTGAGGTTGTAGCTGAGATCATGGCTGTCGTCATTGATCAGACCTACAGAAAACCCTTTCAGCCGTTCTCGATAGGAAGAGTATTTTTGCCAGTCTTGAGTAAGTATTGTTGCGCGAGAAACCAGCGAACTTTGGAGCCCATGGAAACGAGGATAATTGATCCCAGCACTCAACTCTGAGGTGGTATCCCATCCATAGCAGCCAGTTGCATCTATTGTTTCACCGTAACCCAGCAGATTCCTCCACTTTACAGTACCGTCGAGGGTCCATGTCTTGGTCTAAAAAGAAATGATCATGCAGCGAAATAAATTCAGATGATGCCTTAATGCCGTGAGAGTCAAGGAACTTACAATTGGATAAGAATTTGTCTTGGTAGTGCCACTAAGGGACCTGCAGAAGCCAAATTTGAATATCGGATGTTGTTTACAGTGCTCACCTCTGGCTTAGAAAATATGCCCACGTCGCCCGAAAAGGGGCGCTTTGATTCCTCCACTTCGACAATGACATTAGCTGTTCCTGGGAGCTCCTCGGGACCAGCATCAATGGTAATTGTACACTTTTCAAAAACTCCCAACCCTCGGAGTCGGGCATTCGCCTTGACAGATTCTTGCAAGAGCTCTTGCATTGTCCCCGCTCTCTTGACCTCATCCAATTGAGCTTCTAACACACTGTCTTTGGTTTTCACATTTCCCCTAATCTGGACATCGTGCACACGAATCTTAATAGGTTCTTTCGCAAGCTTCTCCGAGAGTTTCTTGGCGAGTCTCGGGGCATCCCAGAGCGGATCGTCATCATCGTGATCATCATCGATCATCTCCTCCTCATCGTCGCCCACCTCTTCCGCGTCCTTCGCCATTTCCGCCTGCTCTACCCTGTCTCCTTCCTCGTCGCCCAGAGGACTCTTCGTCGCGTCTTTCTTGCGCCATTCCTCCCCGCCGAACTCAGTGACCTGCTCCTCCTCGTCCACTTTTTCTGTCCCCATTGAGGATTGCGCGCAAATTCACCAAACCTACCACTTCTCGAATCCGCCCCCTATTCACCTGCAATTAAAAGGCCATACGACACTCGCATCACTTGCACCATTCGGGCCTTGCAACGCAAGCAGCCCACTACGGCAAATCCAACCAACGCATGCAAAACCTCAAACACTCGGACCGAATCCTGATCGCCATCCACGACGCAAAACCCCAATCGGAGAAGCAAAACAGGCCCCGATCGACACGCAGCTGACCGCACGCTGCACTACCCACACTGAGTGACTCACCCAGCTGTGCTCCGGGACAGGTCACAGTGCAGAGCCATGGGAGGGGAATCTCATGGAACGCGCGCATCAGCCGAAACGAGATCGGATGCTCGATCTCTCGCGCGTACGTCGCCCGTCTCGCCCGTACCTCTTGCCCTCCATGCGCGACGCTATTGGGCCTCCTCAGCGCGATGGTTTCTTCCCCTTCCGCTCGAGGAGTGCCGACCTCTTCCCGTCTCCGCAGCCTCTCCTCGTCCTCGTCCTCGTCCTCCTTCCTGCTCTTCTCGTTCCCACACGCCCGAGCGCAGCGCCCACGAGCAGCCAGGCGCCCTACCACGTGGACCCCGCCCTCGGACTACGTTGCGCGCATGAGAGGCCAGAGCTACCCGGTACAGTCCCGGGCAATCCTTCTCCTCCATCTCTCTCCACCTGAGGTCGCCGTTTACGTCGTTCGGACAGGAGCTCGATGCGTACACGTGGCGCAGTACAATGATTGGATGCAGTGTACGTCCATTGCATTTTCTCGATAGAAGCCCAAGAAGGAAAATTGGCACACATGTAGAATTTTGCGAAGGTCTCCGGGAAGAATGTGAGAAGATGTGAGCAACGAGCTGTTCCCTGCAGCCAAAATTGCAGTGCCATTGGAGTCTGCCTTCTCGGGCGGGCGGTGCAGGGAGGACTCGTGTGCCCCTTCTGGTATCCTTGCCACTGTTCGACTTGTTATTGAGAAGCAGTCGAGTTTCTTAAACCGAACAGTTCTTGTGCGGTATGCCGCTTAGGCTTCACTGTGGCGTAAGACGCTTATCTTGACAAGAATGAAAAAGGAGTGAAAAAGGTTAGCATGTTGGAAGAGTTCTCCTTTACTCCTTTTGATCGCTAGTTTTCATGCATTCTGAAAGTCTGTCTCTGCTGTGGATGATCACAAATTCCAAAGAGGCGAGCAGTTGAGACTTCAAAGGCACACGCAGCCTACCATCACGATGTGGCTTTTCGAAGTTGGAATCACACTTTAGTCGTACCAATATCCTGTCCAGACACATAACTAGCACAAGATGGTTGAGCCTTCTGAGCTCATTATAGATCTGAATTCCGAGTTGAAAGAGCCTCATTGCTACTGTGCTGAGAACAGCTAAAGCCTATCATGGGTGAGACAAGCCTTTCTCTGAAACTTTGAGCTATCATCGGAAGTGAAAACGATACTGGTCCCAGACCTACAACCTTATGAGGCCATGGAAATCAGGTGCGGAGAAGAAAAACGAGGGACAGAGAGACGCCACCAACAAGGTCTTCTCGATGTGCTTTTTTGATGGTCAAAAAAACAAAACAAAAGTCACCCTGAATAATGTATCAATCAGACCGACTTCTTTCTCACGTGGTTCTCACCGATCGCCAAAATCATCAAGAGCTGGGTATCTCTATTGTCCGTGCGATCCAAAATTGGTTGCATATTGCGAGGACTGATAGAACATATTCGGTGTGCTTAGTGCAATGACTGAATAATATACAGAGTTTTGGAATCTGAAGGACAAGACCCTGCGACTTTTTCTCCCTTGAGGCACAGCGGATTACAGTTTTCTTAAGATGAGATCCATTAAGTTGTGAGCTGATAGTCCTACACCGTGGGCCAAGTAGACTAGATTTAACATATTTTGGCTGACATTTGTATGCAGTGTCTGGAATTCCAGGCGTAAATTTATATGAGCCCTTGAATATAAGAGACCCTTGAAAGAACAGAAATTTCGTGTTCTGACGAACAATGCCTGGTTTGTAAGAAATTCTGAGAGAGCTGTAAATTCCAGCCTGCCTGCAGTTCGGTGTGATCTGGTTTCGTCCAGATTTCTCACCTTTGGCACTCTCCACGAGGCTCAGAGGGGGCATCCTTTCGTCTTACCATATCAGAAAGTCTTGTTAAAGCTCTGGGATTCTTTGACCCAAAGTTCTAGTACAACTGCCTGTCAAGCATGTTATGGGGTTCGGAATCTGGGAGGATTAAAGTCAAAAGGCGTCACTGCAAGCGCGTGGATACGGACCTAGAGAACATATAATCTCCAAAAGCAGTGTAAAATAATTTTAACGAGCACGTAACCTTAACGTCACTGAGCAGCTGGATCATCTGATCTGTAGTTGAGGTGACTCTTGTCCCGACCTGTGGACCCAAAGTAGCTAACGAGCTGGGTACGAGCAAGTTGTAAAGCTGAACAGACAGGTAATTGAGCTGGATTTCGCTGTGGACATGTTTTCAGCCAGAACTAATCCTTGGCCCCTACTATTTCTTAGCTTGAAGAAACAGAACCTTGACCTCCAGCAAGATACCGCTGGCTAATGGGTCATGGGGAGCTCTCGAAAAACAGTCTTGAAAGTGCAGAAACCATGGGTGAGATGTCGTGTTCGACCGAGAGCCAAGGCTTATGCTAGGCGATGCATGCCTAGAATGGGCCTTGATTTCTCCGCAGCTGCATTACGAAAAAAGTTCCTGAAACCTATGGTATGACTCGAACTCCGACCTCGCACCATCACCTTGAGAGCTTCGCTGGAGACTATTGCGTACCACCATTAGAAACAGCCTCTGTTTTAGACCTCGTCAGACTTGATAATCGACTGTCGTTCGTCGACGTCGGTTTGCATGTTGAGAAAAGCAAAACAATGAGCTTGTTCATGGTTCAGTACGGAGAACGTAAAGAGGTGTGCAACAACTGGGAAATGTTATACCAAGAGCCTGTCATTAGAGAATGACAAAAGCCGGGACACTTATCGATCCACTATTCAATTCTAGCCAAATTTCCAGTTACAACAATCTTACTTCCTCTCGCTTTGCTCTGTAAATTTCTGTTGATTACAAGGGGCTCTTATATACAAGGGGCTTATCTTAGCCCTGAGATTACGAGAAAGAATGTATGATACAATCCTCACACATGTACAGATAAGAAAACTATAAACAGTATCGGTGAACGTTTCGATCACTGAACTCACGTGCTTAGCCTATGAACGAATTTTGGTATAAGGTCTCCATTGCGGAGCTAGATGGGTACATATGCGAACAATCACGTTCTTATAACTTTCTTCCACCACAAACCCACTCATCAGGGCAGTTCCCAATTTTCTATATGCTCAACCGGCTTCACCGCCAATATATTCAGCTCTCTAACTTTACAGATGATCCGCCACTGCTCGGTAGATTAATTATTTGGTTTCACCAGATTCAACGAGCCACCCTCAACCAACCTGCTGCATTTCAGATCCCTCCAGTCCAAAGCATGTCATACAGCAGTCCAAAAATGCCACAGCTCAGAGAAAAGGAAAGCCGGACCCATGAATTGAACAGACCTGCCCTTAAGCACTCTCGTGACCTGCAGCTTGGTGTAGTGCTCGTTGCTCCCTCGTTGCGAGTTCCACCCCTTCCCGCATTGGCTTGTAATCTTTGTATTCACGGTCCGGTGGAGGTCCACCCTTCAACCAATCGGTGACCCAGGCCATATTGAAGCTTCCACTCTTACCCAAAAATTTGCCTTGACGGGGTGTTGAAGGCAAAGAGTGCCCATGGGCAACGACTTCATCATCGTCTGCGTCTTGAGGGACCCAGTCACCGGCATGCCACAATTTCCACCAGCCGTACTCGACCAGGATCAGAAGCATTGCTACGAAGGTGAGTGTGTAGCCGGCGATGGTGACATATCCAATGTAGACGAGATCCACTCGTTCATCGTAAGAGTTGAAGGCCAAGGCACACCCGTACCCGCCTCCGATGCCGATCAGCAAACACGTGAACAGAAACCCGGCTTGGCTGAATCTGCGCTCCACTCTGCACTCCTCGTACAAATTCCGTAGCATGACACCGACCACACAGAGCCACAACGACAGAAGCAACAGACACATCGACGAATCCTCTATCAGATTGTTGATCGTCACTCCCTGCTTCTCACTCCCGTCATCCTGCGGTGCTTCTTCGCCGGACGACATCTCGTCTGATTTTCCACCTTCTGAACAAGCGCTCCTGAAACGAAGAGTACGCTTAAACTCTCACAAATCTCCTCTTCCACAAGAGCACTCCCGAACTGCTAAATGTCTTTTCTCCACGATTCTCTAGCTTCTCCCACTCGCTGGGCGATTGTCAGCGAATATCAGATAAAAAGCTCGCTTCTTGATGCACATGTGAGAGAGTGATCTACCCCCTGAGGAAACTCAATCCCGATCCAAAGCCTCAGACATTGCGCCCCAGCGAGCCGGATTCTAAACTCTGATTCCTACTGGCTGACTGATCAAGAGCGTACGAGAGCCTCGCAAGAGGATCGAGGCGGGAGCAGATGACACTTGCAACTCGGCCAAGTCTGGCATCCACTGGGGAGCTTGCAAGAACCGTACTCCTGCTGCTCCTCCTCCTCCGCCCAGCCAGCCGAAGTCTCAGAACATCGAGATGCCCACCGGGGGAACGGGCCCATTCACAATGGCAAAGGTGATGCCGATGGCGCGAGCATTGTAAGGAGCGCCTGGCAGTAAACAAAGTCGCCTCGATGCGGAGTCCAGGGAGGCAGTGACATCACTGTCCGTCCCGCCTCTGCCCTAATGGCGCACGGGCGAGATCTGTCTGCACTCGCTCCACACGGCGGCAAAGCGCAGCGCAATTATTGTCGCTGCTCGCAGCCACTCGGATTCCCCTTTCCGTTTTTCTGCAAAGCACGGCCTCTGCATCTGCTTTGCTTCGCTCATGCGATAAAGCAGGTCCGTTCGGCCTCTTTTCCTCTCCGAGAGGGACCCGGTCGATGTCGCCTGGGCGATTGATTCTCATGAAATCCCCCTCCCGCGACCGATCGACCCCATCACGTTGACTGCAGTGGTATTCAAGTCAATGGTCCCAGCGGGGCCAGCTGTAGACTGTCATTGGCAGACAAATTTCGGCCTGTTCTGTATCTACTCGGAGACAGTTAATTTTGCATCGAGGGTGGTGGGGGAGGCCAGAATTCTTCCGGAGTGTTTCACTTCTGAGTCAGTGAAAGTTTCTGCGTGAATTTTGCACTATGCGAGCTGCCGAGTGTTGGCGCACTCACTGCCTCGCCACTTGCAAGGGATCTGGAATTTGGAATTTGGAATTTGGAGACGTGCTGACGTGAATTTGGAGACCTCCTTTGAGAAGTTTTGAGAAGTTTCGTCGTCGGTGGGCCTCTCGCATGCAGTAGAATCCAGCCGGATGACGTGGGAGCCGTCGATGAAGGTCGACGACGGGATGCCAAAGCTTTCGGCTGCGAGGCATTCGGGATGCCGATTTCTTCGTGCTGGTCGTGTTCTGTGCAGTGCAGTGCAGAGGGAATTTGTGACGCCGTGGCGAGACGAAGCTTGGATCTCTCGCCTCGGAAACAGTCATTTGCTCCCGCAAGTAAGGAGAGGACGGCGACTGCTCAGACTGTCGGCGTGTATGTATCGATCTTGATGCGGATCGGATATTTGGATCTGCTCGGACGCTGAAAAGATTACTCAGCAGAGGAGGAGGAGAAGAGTTTACAGTGCCTGCATGGTGAGTAGACTCGTAAGATTCGTTGATGGAGTTAGCTCTTAGTTTTGACAGGGTACATTCCTGAAGGCTCTAAATGGGCCTTTGACTTTGATCCTTTCCATCGCCCTTTGCTACCTCCACACGAAGAAGTCTATAACTCTCGTCAGGTGAAGGATGCAGGGTTCTGTCCAAGGATATCACATTGGTTGCTACATTGACTTGCTTAGATAGGACAAGCAAACAAGTGGGGCTGAAAGTGGATGCTGCGCTGCCAGATTCAGATGCGAGCGCGATCATGATGAACACGACGGGACGCATCGCCTCTTAGCCCTCTAGTTCACTCCTCGACGGACACTTGCAGGCGTAACCTTATGTTTCCGTTTTGACAGGCAGATATCACTGCCACAGAAATCACTACGCTCCGTGAGAAGTGAAAAGAGTAGAGAACATAATTCTTCGAAGTAGATCCTTCAACTCAAGGTTCGAGAACGCACATGATGAATTTTGAGTTCATTTGATTTTGGTTTAGATCAATGTGATGAATGAAAGTCGTAAAGGCCAGCAACGCGTCTGGTGTTGAACTTCCAAATTGTTACATACCACTAACATTGACATATCGGTCACCACTGAAAGTTTCACACGGAAAAAAATGGCAATGCACTGCACAGAACCTCATAGAACTTGGAAACCTTTCGATGAAGGACTGGGACATTCCTCGACGCGGAATAATTCAAATATGATAGATTTATAAGCCAACCATCCACAAGGACAAAATTGCATTGGACAGCCGACAAGTGTGTCCAAGCCATACGCTTAGGATCTGAAATCGTACCCACGTACGAAGAAAAACTGTGTAAGTTTAAAACGACCGCCTCTGAAAAAGGTGTAGGGTGTGCTGGGGCAGGACCACTCCCGGTACAGCAAGGTTCACCAAGAAGCGCTATAACGACGCACGTCGTCTACTACTAACTTTCAAAAGAGTGAGCTCAGAACAAAATGAGGCCACTCAAAGCTTCGGGCAGATCCGTTCTCTTCGCTCCACACGGCTACGGACAGGTCAAACTGGAGTGATGACTACCCCAGAGGCGCCAAAGGTAGGCGTCACGGTAAAGAAGCTGACAGGCATGCGCCTCATTTGGACTATTGACAACAGAAAAGCTCCAGGTGCAACACGGTTCCTACTCGAGTGGGTGAGTATGATGATGGCTGGAGTTCTACTGAAGCTCAGGCCTGTCAAGTCTTCTTCGTCAGCCGTAAACGGGTAGTAAGAAGAGAGTACATCAACTCAAAATCGCTATCCACTTAAGCCTGGGTTATATACCTACCTCGTTTTATCTCCTCTGCTTGACAATTCTTCTTCCTATTCCGGATAAATCTCGAGGAAGCAATTTTTAGTCCGGGAGCATACCCTGGTCTGTCAAGCGAAAAGATTAGGCATTCTCCTAAATGCCTCTGTGCCTCATACAGATCTCTATGTTTAGATTTGTGGTCTGAAAATTTCATGGCCGAACATGAGTACGAGTCTCTACTCGGTCCTGGTCGCAGTCGACACTCGAGAAGCCCGCTTCTTGGCAAGACTTTCACTTCGGTGTTCCCTCTGCTCCTTGAGACGCAAAGCGAGGAGCTTCTGGTACTCTCCGGCCTCGGACTTGGCCTTAGCAACTCGCTTTTTCTTCTCTGCAATTCTGCTGCGCTTCCTCTGGAGGGTGAGGGGGGTGACAAGCCTCTGGATCTTGGGAGCCTTGCTCCTCTTCTTCCCTGTAGTACAAGACAAGACATTAGGCACGCAGTTCTCGACAGAGAAAGTGCTTGCGAACTGTTGTAATGTGAGCCCAACTTGAAACAAAGGAAAAATAGATAAATTGTCTTACCGGTGGTTGAGGTAAAGCTACGTCGGTAAGTGTTGACGTACTTCCTGACGTCGTCTTCCTTAGAAAGATTGAAAAGCTTTCTGATCTTGGTGGCCCTCTTGGGTCCACGCATTCTTGGTTTCTCAATGTCCGTCAAGCCGGGCAGAGGCTTCGCACCTGAGTTCAGAAGCCACTACAGCGTAAGTCCATGACACGAAACAAACGATTGGATCACTTTGCGAATGAAGCACAATCGCGAAGGGGTAGGACAATCGCGAAAAGAGTAAGGAAATTTACCTTGCTTGACAATTACCAAATTCAGGACTGACAGATCGGGGCTGACGATGCAACCTCTGACAGACTTGCGTCTCCTCTCACCGTTGCGACGTCCGTGTCCCCGGAAGCAGGGTGTTCCTGAACAGACCCTAACACTTATTAGCATAAGCAAGAGCTGCTCAGTATTGGATCTGCGACACAGGACTCAATTTAACTGCTCGCACGGAGTTGATGAACTGCCAACACCAAACTCTGGAGCCAGAAAAAGACATGTCATTCTTGGGTGCCAACGAAAGGTAGAATCCAGTTCTTGCAAAGAGCCTACCAATATACAGGCGACACACGAAGGTGGGCGAGCAGGAAATCTACATTGTGTTCCTAAATTACCTCGGTGCATCATGATCCTGACGCGCCCTTGGGTGATGACACCCTGCTTCATGGGGAAACCCTGTTTGTCGCATCCTCCCTTGATCTTGAAAACATAACCATTGAACTCCTGGGAAATGAAAAACCCACGAGAGATTAGCTCGAGCTTCCAGACATGGTGCCCATCTGAGGTAATTAAATAAAGGTGATCTCAGTTGGTGTCAGGGGAACGCTTGATGGCAATTCGCAATGTTGATCTTCTTCATCTGCTTCCGAAATATAAAGCTAACATTGCAATCGGCAGAACTGTCAACTCCACACCCCAAACGTGATGAACTGCCAGAAGCCGTACCTCCCCAAGATTGTCTCCGGTGACCTCTTGGGACAAACGCTTGTCAAAAAACGCCCGACTGTAAACAATATACAAGAGATTCAGAACTTATGTAGAAGGTAGTTCAACTGGGCAATGAAGCTGAAGCAAGATTGCAAAGAATCTAAAATCTCACTGAAACAGACATAGAATCAAAGTGAACAAGATACGTACAGCTTTTGGTCGTCATCAATTTCGACCTTCTTTTGACACCCCGTGGTGGGATTAGCAATGTTAAGCTGCGTGGGAGATATTCAGATCGGGACAACAATCAGTCAACATATTTTGTGACATACATCAGAATACATACAGCCATGTGTAGCTGAACTGATCGTTTCTCAAAGCAGCGCATCCAGTCTGTGACAAGACCGATCATGACAGATCCACAACGAGTATTGGACCAGATTTTACGCAACAGTAATTTAAAATCGGATCAATCCTGTATTCGATCGCGGTAGCGAGAATTTGCAGGCGAACCTCGGTAATTTACAAGGAGCTCGCAAACTCAGATCGATACACATGACAGCATCAACGCTGTCATGCGTATCGATCAGAGGTCAGAGGATCTCCGATCCAGATAATTTTGCAGACATTTAACTTTTTCGGATATTATTAGCTTGTCATGACCAGCATCTTGATATCAACACGACGCAGACTCAAACTGGACAATTCGAGTACCAAAGAAACAGAAATCTCAAAACGCTTGCCTACAGCCGATCCACACTCTCGTACCTTCATGATGTCGGCTCTGCTGGGGCTTCAAGCGGTCGGCCGCTGCAATTGTGCTCTTTGCAGTGCCGAAGCAATGAATTTCGAAAAGACTTCGACCCACACGCCGTCGCCCTAAAGACGAATGCCACAACCCTAGACATCATGGCATGTCATGCCATCCATGCATGTTGGGACTAATCCTTATGTGTTAACAACCACATTCATGGACAGAAGATCAAAGAACCATCCATCGTCACCTTGAATTGACAAATGGCGATGAGCCACCGCCGGAGTAAAACTATTCCGTTCCCCATCTTTGGATAAATTAATCTTGCTTCCTTAATTAGAAGATAATCATGCATTTCTTCGTCTTACCCCATCACCATCTTCTGGCCAACAATGGTATGTATTGTGAAACGATACAAAATTAACTTTGAGTGGCAATATAGAACCAAAATTAACGGTGAGGCGGTAATAGAAACAAGTACCCTTTTGAGGAGTTCGTAATGTCAGAAAATTTTCATATTGTAGAGGAAAATAAATTTTCAATTTATTATAGGACTAAACTATCAAACTGACATCCCGATAAATATCACGGATGCTCGGAAACATTACAAATTTGGTGCATCCGGGCATGCTACACTTCGATTGTGGGCATGGCCACCATAACTACTGTATATGTTAACATCCTCCCCTATATCGAATATCACGTTCTTCTAAATGGCAAGAACGCAATGTGAAGCGACAGGGGTGCCCGGTACAAGAACCTCTCTCACGTGGTAAAGGTCGGTCGCAGTAAAGGACCTCCTTGCTCGGACCTCCACGCTGGCGCAGGCTCTGCCAGTCACAGATCTCGGTATCTTCGGACTTTCTCTCCTGTTTTGATTTCTTGTCTCCATTGCTCGACACAAATGAATTCCACTATTCGCAGGCAGCCTGTTGATTTAGCCAGTTTCAGGATCAGTGGTCTTCCAGTCGCTGTCTTTCGAGAGTGATCAGAGCGGTCGAGCCGGTCGAGGCCTCAATTTCAGTGGACTGACGAAGCAGTGGATGCCACGAATTTCCCTCCTGGCTTTGAGGGAATTGAGAAGGTGCTGCTGACAGTTCGTTGGGATCGAGGATTTGGTACTTGTTCTGTGGCTCTACACCAAGTTTGCGGTCCGTGCAACACGATCCTAGCTAGCGGTGCTGTCCCGTTTGGAAGCGCGATTTTTCGGATTTTGCTGACAGACGAGTAACGCTGGATGCCCTGTTTTGGAGCATGCACAACGGTAGCGGTCATTACGACTCGGTGGTTCTCTTTGTTGCTACCAGATATTGAGAGTGCGGAGCCCGCACTGAAACCATTTTCTGTGGGTTCAATCTACTCTTGTAAAACAACATATGTTCTGCTGCTTTGAAAATCCGTGCGAGCGAATCCCTGGAGTCTGGAAGCGTTGGGCCTTCTCGTTGTAGACGTCACCACATTCGTTCTGTACATACTCGACGTGATCTGGGTGTGGATCCAAGTCTACGTTGATTTCCGTTTGCAGCCCTAAACAACGTTTGACTGGAATTGCGGGAAATTGCACAGAGCATTAGGTGATGTTAATGCGAAACCGCAGATTGTAGAATTTGATTCACATTTTGGGTCAAGGAAAGCACCAATCAAGAGGAGGTTTTTCTAGAATTTCGGTGGCTGCTCGAGTCAGAGGAATCATCAAGTGGGTGCACTTGCTTACTTGTACAGCGCAGTGGCAGGGGTTGTAGACAGAGATCAGATATGAAGGGGAGGCTGTCAGGTATTCAGAAGCAAGTTTTGAGCTTGCACCGCTCGTTGCTTCGGGCAGCCCGTGCAAAACCTCCAGAGACGCGGGAGCAAATTGAGCGATTTGTGAATGCGGAATTTCGTAAGAACGCAGCTATAGACAAGAAGAACTACCAGCAAATTGAGTACTTAATTAGACGCGGTCAGAAGCAGCTGGAGATGGTGCGCACTTCGGACGGGTTTTCAGTGGTAGAAGTAAAATGATGTGCTCGCTGAGTCACTTTGTGTGAGCTGATTTTTTTCATCTTCAGCCTTTCATGGAACTAATTCATATATTGCCGGAGATGCCCGCAAGCTGTCTTTGATGTCATTCGTCACAGCGGTGAAACATTATTCCGGTATCTCATCGCAGCTTGAGGGCCTCTTAAGGATGGTTCGGTGATTCGGTACTTGAGCTCGGGTGTTTGGTTCTGTATCTCGCTCTGTACCCTTCAGTAAGATATTCGCAGTGGGAGCGATCGCAGTGGAATGCATCTGGATTCCTCTTTACAGAGAGACAAAACATGACATTGCCCGTGTTGGAGTTTTTCTATGTATCCAGGCTGCAGGCTGCAAGCCATCGTGTGCTATTAAGAGTATCCAAACATTGTCCGACGCGTTCCTCACCCAACCATATCATGCCATTCGAACGAAATAAAACGATCTTACTCTTACGTGGAATTGGGTAACTGCGTACGGTTTTTATCAACGAGTGGGGCTGTAATGTACAGTGAGGAAGAAGCTGCGCCTCCTCCCGTTTGGATTCGTCCATAGACTTGATCATGCCTCGTACCATATTGGATGTCTGCGTCTCTAAATGGGCTCGCAAACAAGACACGGAAATCTGGCGGAGAGCTACTTGGCGAATATGGATAGAATCTCGCTTGTTGCTCTCCATGCGGGATGGTTATAAATATCGTGACGACTGACAGTAAGTCATCGATTTCAGTTTAAGAAAGAAGCTGGATACTTGATTTGATACACAGAACACAATCATGCTGAGTTCGAGTGGTACATTTTTCTGAAAGGGGAAGTACGAGTACAAATTCATTTTCGAGCCCATTCAAAGGGATTTATGAACTCTCGATAAGTTTCAAATAGGAAACAACCGATCTGCACAAATTTTCAACCACAGAATTGGATAAACGGCGCCAAGTCTTGGTATGAGTACCTGCTGTTTAGCTCATCAAAAAATGGAACACTTCGGGAACCAACCGGACCTCAAACGAGAATCTTGCACCGGATGACCGGGGAATGCAAATTGTGCGACTTCCATTATTATTAAATACACAGCACGCTTCACTTCAAAAATCACTCATTTGACACTTGGTTCTCGACGGCTGCAGCGGTCCTGCTCCATCCAAATTGTCATCGCTGGCTTCCAAACAAGGACCATACGGACCACTTTTGAAGGACCCATGCAAACACGTACACCTCTTGCCGAGGTGTGCGTATCACACGTGGCAGAATACTTCATCCCCTCTATGGCAAAAGTGGTGGGGCCACTCGTCTCCTTTTAAATGATTAATGAATGAATGACCGGGCAAATTATCCTAATCAAAGGATGCACCCAGTCCAGCGAGGAGCCATCTTACGATACAAAATGGTGCACAACTGTACAGCAACCAACATTGATGCTATGATGTCGGCCTGGCAAGTAAAAAGATCTATATTCCAACTCCATACTGGCTCGCAATCTTCGCCACCTTCTTGTTGAGACTCGATCGCTGTTGTTTGGCCTCCCACGCCATTGAAGCAACCTGATACACAAGCTTACACTCATTAGCTCGAACCTTGCACTCATAACGCCAGTAGGTGTCAAAGTCCTGCCAAACGTATTCAGCATGCTTTGGGTACATATACATCCTCTCCTTGGAACACAATATTCTGTTCAAAGAAGCCTAACAAAGCTAATGCTTACGAAGAAAGCCACACGGATCATCTTCAGGCCGTTACAATCAGATTTTCAGATTTTCCGCTATTATTGTAATCCTCTCCACATGACGGTTCAGTGGGTTTTCCCGTTTTGGCCACATTAACAGTCCTCGTGTTGTTGACTTTGTGTGTAGAGAAAACCTAGATGAACATTTACGATTCTATCATTCAACCCTGCCTAGAGAGAAGAGACAACTCTTCAGAACATTACCTCAGCACGTAATTTCAAAGCTTCTCGTCCGGGTAACTCCCTCAAATCATCCATAAGACCTACAACCAGCAAATCGTCATTGGAGAAACCTCACTTCGGGTGAACTTAGCTTAAATGAAAACATTGACCACAATGAGCGTACAATAAAGACATCAGCATGACATACTGCGAGACGAGCACTTCGTGTTCTAAGAACATTAAAAATCATCACAGCTTTGGACAATTCGTGGTCATCAAGAAACAAAAGGAAAGAACAGAATCGAAATAAGCGATGGGATTAGAAAGTTGAAACTCACGTCGTGCTGAACTTTCAGTCTTGTAGACCGTATTCACCAGACTCCGCAGTTGGCTGCCGGTATTTCTGATGCAAAACATTGAACTCGATCAGTTCTATTCGTTTTGGTGGACAAAGAGAAAAAACGAAAAATTACCCAGAAAAAAACTTCATCCTTACTTCAGCTTTGTCCGGCCCCTCGTCAGCTCCTCTTCAGCAAGCTTTGCTCGTTCCTGCAACACAAGGCCAGTCGACACAGGTTTTGAGCAAAGTACTTTACGAGGTCATATCCATAAAACCACAGAGATTTAGATTCAGAAAAATGAAGTAGGTAACCAGAAAGAAACACAACTTTTCGGACACCAATAGCTCTGCAAATCCTCGGAATAAGAAAAAGACAATTGGATCTACCAAATCGCACTCGTCATACTGACTCTCGACCGTCAAGTTTGCTGATATCAAGAAGTACCTCTAGCTTCTTGCTTTCATTCTTCAACAAATCGACGGACTGACGCATCTCCTTTACTTGTTTATCCGCGCTGATAACCATTTGCTGCATGATTGAGTCGGTCCGAACTTCAGTTATGAGCCCTATTATTCAGATTGAAGACCGACTCATTCATAAACCTCAACTTCTTTTCTGAACAAATGTTGACGAGAAGAAGCTGCTGCTAGATTTCTAGACTTTGCATTAACAATGACGAAACCTATGACCTTCATTTATACCTCTTCACTTTGAAATCTTCCGATTGTATTGCGAAACAAAAAACGCCTTGGTCCTGTGCATGAAACATTATGAAGGAAATTAGGAAGTAACCTATATATAACCGAAAGGCAACGAACATCAAACTGATTTTATACCGCACTGCCTTTTCTATTCCACGTGTGTAGTTCACCGAAGGAGAGACAACTTACTCCTCATGAGGAGCAAAGCTCCACTAATTCCAACTCCATATGCTATATTCGGATTATCTCTAGCAGCCAAAACACCCTCTGCAGTGGAAACATTTATCACAAATCACGTAAGACGGGATTTAATGCCAAGCAAAGTGGACATAATTACGGAAAATAGGGTTTAAATGTTTCTCATTTCCAGACGTTAGACTCGTCTCACAGTACATAATAATAAAAAAAATTGTAAACTTGCGATGACCTTTGCTATAAAATGCTTCACGGCAATGATAATCGAGCAAGACGCTTGCACATTTAATTCTCATTGAAAATCATCTTGCTATTGTTGCTTCTGAGTTATCTTCAGAAATGCCAACAACTAAGTGAGGAGTCTAGTCTGAGGAGACTTATAATGTCTCCTCAGACTTGACAGTGAGCCACACACCTTTCAATTTGCCGAAAAACAGGTCCTCATAAACTTTATACTCGCTCTGAGCCTTGTGCAAGTATTCCTGTGTGGGTAAAAAAAGAAAAAAAAAAGGATTGTGAGTTCGTTTCGACTTTAAGATACGCCTAAACCACCAGATGTTCTGGTCCAGACTCCATCAGGTTAAGAGTTATGCTCTTATGAGTTCTCCCTTCTTCGTTCTTTGGCTCTTGTAGTCGAATGAAACATGCGAAGATAAATTAGGTCAATCTGTGTAGAGCTTCCATCTGGCAATTCCCTTGTTGGTCCCTTCAAAACTTTCACATTCCATGCGCTCTTAAAGTCTTTGGAAAACTTTGTTAATCCCTTTGTACCAAGGATGCGTGGATATCTAGGGAGGTTTTATCATGATCAAAAAAAATGGAGGAAGATGGAGCTCGAGGCACAAGAATATGTGGGGATACATGATGAGGCACAGAAGTTGCAAGCCTTGAAACAAAGATAACTGCTTGGCCAGCAATAATATCATCGAAGCAGCAGCACTCACTCGACATAAGAATCAGCAGTCTTAGCAGTTTTGAGGACATGCAGTCTTGCCGTGCATGGTAATGCTTTGTTCACCCTAAACCTACAGTATTGACAATTCATAGCCGAGAATTGTCAAATGAGCTGCAGTCAAACTCACACCATGCAAGCGTACTTCTTCGGTGAGCACCTCGGGTATACAGAAGTAGCAAATTGCCCAAAGTTCCCACGTTCCATAGTCACAAGAATTTAACGCTGTTTTTCTCTCTAACTAAACATTCTTCATATAAAAACATCGTGGCTGAACCCTAAACCTAGACGAGGTAGAACAACTGCGTACAATCTGGTATGGAATTCAAAGAAACAGAGGATCAAACAGCGGGGAAGCGCGATGGTTCTTTACGAATCCAAAATTTTCAAATGTACCATATGCGGACTCTCACCGATCCTCAGCCTTTCCGTCATCAGATTAAATGAACAACATTAATTCCAGAAAATGTATCAACTACCTCAACATGTGCAGAGACAGGCGATCATAACGCGATTTCCATCAAATTCGCATGGTTGACAGGGACAGCGAAACGATCTACGCATTGTTACAACAAAAGATTCGACACAAAAGACGAGACGTCATCGTACCTGGGCGACGCCGTAAGATTCATTTGAAACATCATACAGTTGACCAATGTGGACGCGGGCCGTCTGGAGAGCTTGATCTTTGCCCTCCACAAAGTTCCGCTGCAATTCCTCGGCCTGGGCAGTGGCAGACTGGATCCATGGCTGGTAATCAGGAATCCCTCCTGAATTGTCTCCTCCCATGATCGCTCTTTGAACGCCAAATCGACACTGTAAAAATTCTCAGACTCTCCTTACCATCCTCGACGATCCACAATGTCCAACTCAAAAAACGCTCTGACACATGAAACGTGCTCTGAAGATAGAAGGTGATTGATCAATCACTCCCAACTCTCCTTCTGCCCCTCCCTTGGCCCTTCCTTCCTTCCCCTCCTTTTTCCGTAGCACCAGCAGCACATACCGATGTTGTCGAGGTTTCTCTCGATCCAGGCGTCCCCGGGTTAATTAACCATGGTAACTTTCCAAGCATCCCTCAAACACAGTTCACAAGGTGAAAACTAGGCTTATACTGTTTCCAAAGGATTTGTACTAGTTACAGAAATCAATGACATGAATAAATATAAAATTAATTCTGGGCACTTACGTCATAATTCATTTCGAAGAACTTGTTATTAGTTTCCACAACATAACTCATTATTCCGATAGTTCTTGCCGAAAACATTCCCGAACTAGCTTCAGTTTAGATTTGTGAAACACTCACATTTAATCTATCATTATCAACTTGCACCAAACTTATAAAACCCTCCCTTTTACTTTTAGCTGATATCAAAGAAGACAATAACAATTCCAATGTTCAGTGCTTACGATAAATACGTCATAGATCTTGTGGAAGCTACCAATTTCAGTTCGAATAAAACTTTGCATCCGAAGGGATATATCTTTCATCGTTGAAGGAGGAACAATTAATTATATGTACACTCATGTTCACATGTGTAAATATCTATCTACATGTTACAAATGTTATTCCAAGAAATATGAACAGGTTTTATCATATTTTTATACACATCCGCAAACGATATGATAGTCGTACATAGTTACATTACATCATATCATTTACTGCAAGGAAAATTTTGCTTCATGCTGCGTCTCCCTTATTTTCTTGTGATGGATGGATCAAAGACGACTCTTAGCGAAACTAATCACTGAAATAACTTTTGAGCTGGAAGTGGTGACGGGTCCAAAGGCGTACTCGCGTAGAAATCGGTCACAGCTATATCGATGCGCAATAGCGCCAATGTAGGCAAGCGAAGTGTCGGAAGCCGAAATTGTCAGAACTGAGGCGCAGTCGCGAAAGCCGTGGAGGAAGTAGATGCAAGTTGGTGTGAGTTGGGCTCGCCTCGCGCTCTGATCAGGTTGAAGAAACAGGCAGTTGCGGATTTCCATCTACTATTAGAATTCCGTGCGGAAGAGCTCGGCTTCGACGCCATGGACCAATTCAAAATGCCTTACTTCTACAATTATCCGCCTTACTTCACGTACGATTTGATCAGTTCCCGATGCTGATATCACCTTGTAGAAAATTGAAGTCTTGATGGAGCTGACACTGACGTTTGGGTTATCTCTCTGCTGTTTCTTGCCACAGTTTGCAACCGGTCAAAGATACGAGGGATAAACAAGTTCAGCTCTGGAAAGAGTTGATTCTGAAGTATTGTAAGAATTACAAGATCTTCATCATTAATCTCGATGAAGAGTTTCCGCTGTTTGTGAACTCATCAATTGAGAGTGAGTCGCTATCCTGTCCTCAATGGGCACTACTTGATCGTTGACATTTGCTCGTTGATATTGCTATGTGTGGAGAGTTTACAGGTGCAATTCTTGTGCTACAGGTGTCCTGAAACCTTGTTTTGCTTTCATGGGCTCCGTGGCTGTCGTGACCAGGGAAATTGAGTCATGAAGCTCGAGAGCTTTTTTTGGGAGCTCTTGTAACCGAAGGTTCGTTTCCTTCTGACCTGGATTGCTAAAGTGGCTGAAGATGAGAGCTAAACCTTTAAGTAGCTCGTCGAGTGCTACATGATGTCCGGTTTGAACAATGGCTCGTGCATCAGTACCCTCCCAGCTTGAATGCTTGTCTGCTTTGTATCGCAGGTAAGGCTGAGTGGCTAGACAAAGGCCATCGCAAATGCCTAATCCTTTGGCGTACAATTACGGATTGGGCCAACCTGATTTTGCATTTCGTGAGTGGATCAGAACCTGTGGAACTTCTTGCAGCATTTAGGTCAGGTTGTTCTTTGATTGTTGCAGAGAAGATTTTATTTTTTTGCTTTATAACTAATCTGGGAATTGTGGCTGCTGGAGTCTGCTTGCACTAAATGCGACCGTGTGGTTGCTGCAGGTCAAGGAAAATGGTTTTGAGGACGGTGTCATGACTCTAGACGAGATTCGCACTGGAGATGAAACGCGTGGGACAGGTAGGGTTCACACGAACCGTTACTCGTAGATTCTGGCTCATTTTCCGTGTTTGCAACATTCGATGGCAGTGACTGTTAATCAATCATCTCCGCATCTTCTTATCCAATCAAAACCATTATTTTAAATTTCCGGCACTTGTGCATTAGTTTTCTGACTCATAGAATGCTCATCCAATGCTGCCGCGTACAGATATTGCTGGAATAGATAGAACGGTTCTTATCAAAGCCTTGCGGGTTCTCGAACAGCGCGGCAAAGCAGCTATGTTTAAGGGAACTTCTGCCGATGACGAAGGGGTGAAATTTTCGGCCTAGCTCGAATGAGTGTAAAGTAGACCCCCGGCTTCCAAGGACACGGAACACATTGTGCTCTACAGTCTTGACGCTCAAAGCATCAAATCAAGTGCGTCCCATGAATCAGGAAAGCATGACATCACTCTCTTCACCTGCCGAGATCATCGCTGTTGATGTCAAAGGACCTTACTTTGTGTGATCGATCCGGACTACACCACACCTTTCCAGGTCTGATCTTGCAGAAATCTCTGGCAAATATCATGTTACACATGAAACAGTTGAAAGATTTATTGCTGTAACCACTGCTAACATGAAACCTAGTGATGTTTATATACCTCTATAGAATCCTCTGAAAACAGAGGATTCTATAGAGAAGAGTGCTCAAAAGCTTTATGAGGCCACCTGGTAATCGTTGTTAATAAATGAGAATCGTACCAGATTATACGTGTACTTTGAAAATACGTGGAAGCCAGTAGAGCTAAGAATCGTGTTTGTTCAGTTTGATCAGGAAATTGATGAAGCATCGAACCATCTCTAAGTTCAGCTGCATTCAGTATCCTAGCTTTGGTAGTCGTTGGGATACTATTAAACGACCTAAAATGTTTGGTTAGACTTGAAATGTTTGTATTTTCAGTGAGATCCGCATGTTATCCAAATGTTATTCGTGGATGTAGTCCTTGATTTCGGAGGGATGAGAAGAAAGTAGGTTATGAAAGGACCCTAGGACACTCTGAAGAAACGTTTAGTGGATACGGAGTTTACATCGGGCCCAGTAAGTGTACTGGCCCCGATGTATGGGTGGAGTTTAGAAGACCTTAGTCACAGCACCTAACAGGCGTTTTTTGGGGCCATTGCGAGGGTCAACTCTCTGCATGTCTGAGTGGACTCATTACAGTTGGAAAAGTTCGGATAGGTGCTGAGGAAGATGTTTATTGAACAAAAAATCTGCACGTGGTCGTTTTTCGCCGATCAGTGGAAGGGACTACATGTACAGTTGTGGAAGAGTACCTCCCATAATAAGAAAATGTTGGTGATTTTAGGACTGTCATGGAGTTCTATTGACAGTCTCTCTCGGAAGTTCATGTACAGATTTTGGTGTATTAAGTGGCATGTGTAAATTAAATTGAGTAAGACTCTATTAACTTGGAAGGAGAAGAAGGGGAGGATACGTAATTGTTGGACGAGGAATCTTGAATAAGGTGAGAAAAGCCAAAACCAAATCCAGATCATTCACAAAAAATGAAATTTTATTAAGGTCCACTTTAGAGCACAGAAGGTTGTCAAATGGAACTTCCAATATTGGAGTGTAGCTATATAATCACTTTTGTAAAATAGTAACGTAGATGTATTGGAGATAAGAGATTACAGTGACTGAATAACAAAGCCGGCTAACATCGAGATATAAATCGATAATACCATTCAGTAATTTGAAACCAAAGATTCACTATAATCAAAATTAAGTTAAGATAAAGAGTAGAAATCTCAAAGCTTGCGGAGATGCACCCTTACATCAATAAGTGATTTCATTATATTTTCATAGTTAAAGTATAAGTCTAAAGTTAGAAAACTAAGACTCGAAATCTCCTTATATAGCTAAATTTGAGGACATTGTTTAGAATTAATTTGAATCTAGCCAATCAAGAAATATATGAACACAAACAAGATTTATTTATTTAAAATTTCAAAAAAATTCCAACACATTTGATCATCTATCAAAATTAACAAATCATGTAAATATTTATTTTTTAAAATCATTATTTGACATTGTTTCTCTTGCACCTAAAGAGAAAATATTTATAATCACCAATCAAAATGATCTAATCACACTTGATCATGATTCATGTTACAAAAGCTTGCCAAAAGATAGTTTTGGACATAAGATGATTCTTAGATTTCCAGCTTGGAATGTATTGCGAGTGGGTTTGAAAATGCTTTCAATATTACCTTCATAATACCCGGTCATTTCATAAAGCTAGGAAATTATAATGAATTAACATAACTTCACATAATTGAAGAACGAGTTGTATAGTCTATTGCTTTGATCATTACAGGTTGTGTACTGATATTCTACAATCATATACACTATATATATATCATGAAAGATATATATATATATATATATATATATATTCTTATCGATAACAATTTGAAAATTTCTTCATTCCTTGACTAAGTACTTTAATTACAAAGAACTGAAAGTTAAGTTATGAAGTTTCTGGAATTATTGCCTCAATACATATTACTTCATTTTCATGCAAATGTATGAAATTGTCATATGTTGTATACATTGTTATGATACGAGATTTGTTAGAGGATTTGGTATCACTTTAATTGCTGCATTTGCCAATTAGGTATTGAATACTGGAATAAGTTACTATCGTGGACTTTTGTATTTAGTATTTTATAGATTCTCCATTATCATTTCTCGTTAACTCATACAACTTCTTTATATCAATTATTATTCAACTAGAATCACATCACGCTTGATGTAATTTAATGGACTGACTGATCTTGGAGTTTTCCGTGACATCAAAGTATATTAGACCTACGAGTTCTGAACTGGGGAGACATGCATGTGAGTTTTGCATATTCTAAAGGTTATGATTGCTATGACAATTCTAGCAATTCTTGATAGTTGCTCGTTCTCACCAACTTCTAACATGGTGGCTACAATTAAACTCATCCTTCAACCCTTGGAAACGTCGGAAGTGAATGGAAGATTATATTCGTATACCGAGAACTAAGGAATGAGCTCCCGGCTTACATTTGAAAAAAGTTGAGGAACCTTATTACAATTGGACCACAAGGCAGTCCATGGTAATGAGTTTTCAGTAGATATGGAAACTCTCGAAAGGTTATGGATGCGGGTCCAGTCCAGGCCAGCAATCAGAAAGTTGGAAATCTAGGGCTGCTGGAAGCAGTGGGTGACCATGCCCGCCGCCGCACTCCAAATGATCTCGTCCTGTGCATGCATTCGGAGAAACAGACTGACGAATCATGGTGAACAGGACTGGATGACTCGAACTGGTCAGCTGACAGAACTCTGAATTGGAGGTTGCACTAAGCTCCCGTCTTAGTAATCAGCTTTCGTAGTCGCGGCATGTGGTCGACAGCAAATCACTAGCGTGCCCGTGAGCTTCGGATCGATGGTTGACTGCTGCATTGGGTGTTCTGTCCTTCAAAACGATTTCTGTAACGCAGTTGCCCCTCGGAGACTATGACGGGGGCCATGTCACATAGCGGACACTCTGCCACAGCCGGTGCAGCAGATTGCGCCGAGGATGGTTTATTGTCCTTCAGCTCTGCGCAGAGCATCGATCTCCATCCCGTCGCTCATCTGAATACATTTGGGCTCGAAATCCGATCGACACCTGCCAAGGGTCGAGGCGTCTATGCTACGAAAGACATCCCGGGGGGCTGCATTGTTGAGATCTCCCCCGTTTTGCTGATTCCCAAGGAGCAGTATAAGGCAGGAGTGAACCAGAGCGAGCTGAGGAACTATGTGTTCACCTGGAGTTGGGGCCCGGGGAGAGGGGGCAGGAATGGAGACATGGCTCTGGCGCTGGGATTGGGAAGTATTTTCAATCACAGTCGACGTCCCAATGTCTCGTACCGATTGCGATCGGACAATTTGACGATCGAGTATACGAATACTTCGGATATTCGTGCAGGGGAGGAGCTGTGCATTTACTACGGGAACGTGCGATTTGAAGAGGAGGAGCTGGAGGATGACGATGACGATGATACCAATTGGGAAGAGAAAATGGCAAGATTGGACGTGTTTGACAACTCTTGAGTTTCCACCTTCAGGTTATTATGAAAATTTATGCAGCGGCTCTGAAGAGGCCAGTCAGTTTTGCCGGATACTCCAATATTTCTATTCGCTGAGAAATACCAGCTTACAGCTTCTGTAAGTGCTCCAGCAGATGCTTGGCCCTGGTGCAGGATTCACCACTGCAGGATCCACGTGATGAAGTCAGCCCGTTCAGAAGACAGTGACCTAGGAGCATTATTCAGGGGGTGCCTTTTCCCTTGATTATCGTTGTTGTTTTCAGGACATTCCGAAATCATGCACCGAGTGTTGCTTCTCGGTTGCTTTTCAGCTATGGCTTGCCTACCTCAGAGTTCAGAAATTGAGAAGGTGACAGGTTTACCTCCGTGTGATTACGAGGTTACTCATGTGTTAATATCACGCAATCTTGGGAGACAATGTTGAAACATGGCCGGGAGGATCGAGACATAGTTTCAAGTCTCGGGAAGTATCGTTTACCTTCTCAGCGAAAAGCAGCAGCTACTCAAAATCTGAGATACGCTAGTTTCAGATTGCGTTGGGTTATTGAGTTCGTGTCAGGACGGAGCTAGTTACTCTCAGGAGAATCCAGATATTATACGGATTCATTGCTTTCGAAGGACGGAATATTGGGGAGTATAAGCCTTGTTGTGTGTGCTCGCGGCGAATCAAAGTGCAGGCTAGTCCCTGCTTATATGTTTTCAAAGGAGCCAGGACTGTTTCATTGCTCGGAGTAAGAGTTGTCTTCTTCAATTCATCGGATTGAATAGAGCCAATTTACAGGTTTCAGCGATCTACAGTGAATGTCAGAAACACTTGCAAATCAAGAAGGAGATTTTTAAAATTGTGGAAAGATCAAGGTGCAGAGCTGGAACTTTGCTAGTGTTGAGGATCACAGCGACAACTCTTTCCCTAACCTCTTGTTCCCTAGAAGAAGGTAGTTCTCTGACCACTGTTGGTTACTCATTTTTGCTCGGGGTCAGTTGCTGGAAACTAATGAGTGCCTGCTACATGATGGCAATTTGGAATGTGAATTTTACGAGTTGGATTCCTGATAGATGATCCCTGTGACAAACTCGAAGGTCTAATCAGTTTTCTGTTGTACCCAATTTCTCGAAGCTTCAGTTCTCTGTCTTGTGGTTGTCAAAATCCTATTTCCATAGAAGTCAATACAGCTGTCACTAAGTCCATCCGAAATGGCCAGCTTCTAATATTTCATTTACATGTTGCCATATTGACAGATTTTGCTATTTTATCAGCATTATTTCGCTTGCAATCCAGAAGATGACCACTAAGCCAGGAGTGCAGAGCTCAATGCTTTACAGCTTGCTCGCTAAGTTCATCATTCACACTTAAATCTCTTCTGAGAATCGAAGTTCTTGAAAAGGAAGATAGACTGAAGTCGTCAAAGCCTTTCTCATCTATTCACTAAATTATAATTACAAGAATTAGTGAGTACATCCCTGAATGCGATTAGCTGACCGAGAAGTATGACATGCCCCATGTACCAGATTCTCTAGGTATGATATTTGTAGTTAGCCTTTTGATGCACATTGCTAAACTTGTCTGTTGTGCCTTTTAGGAACTTGACGTCGGCAGGAATATCTTGAAGAGTTGCCAAAAGAATTAGGTGTGTATTCCACCTAGAGAGTTTGGCCCTTAATGAAATGATGTCAGGGGTGAACTTCCGGATACCGCCAGTCTCGCAAATTGTCAGATTATGCGCATATCGTAAAGAGAATGAACACATGTCCAAGCACTGTTCTAAAACCTTCATTGTTTTTTTCCTATTTGATCCCATGGCCAATAAAGAAATATATGCTGGACAAGAATGTTAAATGGTCAAGTATGATCATTGGTCATATGAATGCAAGCAACACAAGCTTCAGAAACAACTTGAAGTGTTGTAGATCTCTTACAACACTCTAAAGAACGCCAGGCGATTCAAGACTAACACGAAGAATTACCTTGATATACTTCCCGACCACCACAGTTTTGGCTGTGAAGTAATCATAACAGTGTCTATCAATAATCATCCAGTGCCTCTTGATAACGATGACGTAACTAGTGTATAGTCTGACATCTAAAGTCAAGTAGAAGATTTGCAGTCTTGATTCTTTGATGATGCGGCTTCATCACAATTGACCGGATCTCTCTTCTCAAGTAAGACTCTTGCTTGGAGTCTTATTTGAGAAGAAAGATTCCAAGCAATCATGACCTTCTAGTATGTGGGTTTGATCTCTCACTTTGAACAAAAAAGGGTTCCCTATGTTTTCTACATGTTTGACGTCAAGCATAACCTGCATTCTGTCAATCGATTCATTGATCTTGGCCAATGTCAAGCGTAACCTGCTTCCTGCCAATCGAGTCATTGATCTTGGCCACGTACCGCTTTTTAATCCGAATAAATACTTTGCAACCAATGGAGAGAGACTTTTAGACGCTACAGTGGCTGAAAGGCACTATCGACCATGACACTTTGTTCAAACGAGTTCATTTGCTCCAACCACAAGGTTACATTGACGCAAATTGGAGCTCAAGCCTCGACTCCTTTCAAGTCAACCGGTGCATACGCGTTCACACTCGCTAGGGAATCACTCTCATGGTGTTCCAAGAATCACACTCGCTAGGGAATCACTCTCATGGTGTTCCAAGAATCACAACCTCGCACTGCTCTCATTGACTGAGAGAGAATACAAAGGCCTGTCCCTTGGAGCACAAAAAGTCATCAGGTTGCTATAGCTTACGCAATAAGTCAATCAGACGATGATGAACCCAATAAAACTATCGTGCAACGTCGCGAAGGTAGCTTATGCACTTCGGGTTCTTGATTCGCAAGTCAACAACTATTTATTGTGACAACAAAAGTGCGATTGAACTCGCTAGAAATCCTAGTTTCATGCAATGAGTAAACAGATGGGAATGAGAAGCAGAATCTTGGAAAAAATTACAGTTCAATATCTCTTGACCAAGTAACAAACTGCCGACGTCCTGACCAAAGCACTGTCTAGTTCGGAAAATCAACCAGCATAGACACTAACTTGGTCTTTGAAGTCTATCAACACCCTGCAATGACTCTTCGCATTCTAGCGTCCCCACTGAAGAAACAATTCAATCTCCCTTCTAGTCGAAATTTTTTTCTGGAAATTTCCTAAAACGCCCATTACTTGAGCACCGACATCGTGCCAAGTCTTAAAGATCCAACATGTCCGAGATGTCAAACGCAACACAATACTGGCATCGAACACCAAGCACTAATCCTCCTGGTCCATACTGGCTTGACACTAAATTGCAGTCATGTTTGTGCTGGAAAGGTGTGACCACAGAACAGAGACATTCTGCTTTTTTGCCGGCTGGGAAGACATCGCTAAGGATAAGGGCAAAGGTGAAGGTTGATGAACAGAGATGATGTAATCAGAGCTTGCTCGAGATTGAAATAACATGGAAAGGACTACTAGACACACCATAGACCCCAACTCCGTGGCCAACAAAAAGAAATCACGGTTTCAACAGGATTTTATTTCATTATTTAATCATTTTTTGAGAATGAAAGTAATGAGATTAGTTATCTATAAATGCAATAAATAATCTGTAGAGTCCCGGTTATGTGAACACTCTAGACTTTCACAACAGTGAAGGGCACAAGTCCTGATTTTAAAAAAAAAGTTTTTGTTATCTAGATGGGTTTACCAGAGAAAGTAAAAGATTTATTAAATTAAATTTTGCGATGATAGTTTGTCACAATTTCTTTGTTGATCTAGGTGGCTTTACTAGATACCGGCTGAAAACACTCAACTAAAACTATGAGGTGATAGTATGTGACAATGTCTTTGTTAATCTCTATGAGTGACACGGATGAGTTCAACCAGTCAAGTTTTAGTATTTTGACTACTTGTTCACCTCAGGAATTTGTAGTTTTGTAAACACCATAAGTTGTTGAAGTAGTTCAAAATCAGTCTTTAATTTTCTTGTGAACAAAAGGACATGATACAATAGTGAAAAAAACAAACAACTTTTGGTTTTTGTGACACGTATTAAGAATAGATTTATTGAACTCATGAAGTTTGTCGTAGAATTAACTTGACCATGAACGGTGTCAAGTGATTCATCAGTGATGAAATGAGAAAAGTATATTAACAAATAAAAAGTAACACCCATTTTTCTATAGAAGGTATTACATTATATTCAAATTCGGCCAAAAAATGAAAGTTTAAATCAAAATTATTTTGCTTTGAAAATTATACTTATTTTGTCGAGATAGGAAACATACAGAATCCGCCTATATAGAGGCCCGGTGGTACGGTGACCAGTGGAACTTTTACAAGGGCCCATTCCTCAATATAAGGTTGTTGCTCTGGTCGTGTTCAGTTCCTCCGAGGTCAGCAGCAGTTGTCGGCTTCAGCAGACCAGTCCCCTGCCTCAATTATCAGCTGAGGCCACAAATGACCCCAGCCGGAAGAAGTACAATGCTGTAATGATTATGATAGGAATGTCAATTTGAACCATCATTACAAGCCGAAGCTCAACGAGTAAGAATGGCGAGGGCTGGGACTCACGTCAATCAAACTTATGCTTCAAAAATACTGAATTGTCGTCTTCAAACGAATCTCTATGCTTCAAAACTACTGAATTGTCGTCTTCAAACGAATCCCAATGCTACATCAAAATATTTGCTTTGTCCTGTCAAGTCTTCACTTTCTTCTTAAGCAGATTAGAATGAAATGTTGTATATCATCTTGCAGATCATACATCCAATCACATATAATTATTTGTGAGGTCATAAGAAAAACTTTTCGTCAAACAGTTTGAATCATGATAGGAATGCAGTGTATTCGGAATCTGATGACTAGAACATTGTACTTCGATACTTCGCTCATTTCAAACAGGGAATCCTTATTAAAGGAAAAGAAAACAGATTCATCGAAGTGTATAGGAATAAATTCATCTTCAACTTGAAAAGAATAACATGAATTCTTCAACTTTATTGACCTTAGATTCCAATGTTCATCGGAGATATGGAACATGTTCCATCCACATGCGAATTAAGCTGAAGCAGGTCTAAGTTTTTATGCCATTGGTATAGTCAAGCAGTTGGACACCAGATACCAAAGGTCAGCGGAGGAATCCTCAAATACAGGTTCCTACTGCCAACCAATGTTGAGATCAGAAACGTATTAAGTCAATGAGGAAGAAGCGACCGGAAGTACTGTAATGATGAAGAGATGCACGAGAAACATACGTTCACATGATTTTTCTTTTGTGGGCATAAAAAAGTAAATGCTTCCAGCATTGTTGGCCTTTTTTTAATGTATAAGGTTTTCTATTTTGATGAGAGTACTCACTACCGAAGATGCTTTAACCAAGTTAACGGAAATTCATGAACCCTCTGATGAACTTCAGAGACTGGACAGCATATGGTTCACATGTTCGGCAATAGACACACCATGGATAGAATCACCCAGAATTTCACATGTTGTCGTCTGGGATGTGCAATTGACTTGAGCATTTGACTTCGTCTCTTCGTCGCGTAAGCCGAAAGGAGCTATTATCATCGTTGCTGACTAGAGCCGATGCTTTACAAGAGACTTTTGAAGTTCGTTATGGCGACAAATATCCAAACCTAGGCCCCTTTGACCGCAATTCCTTTATGTAGCAATGAAAATTTTCTATAATTGGTCCTGTTCTATGCTGTATCAATTTTTCTTTCAATAGAATCTGCATATGCCATCCCCAGCAAACTATCTCTTGGTAAAGGCTCGTATCCAAATAAGATCCTCGCGGCCTGGTACTAAGTAAGTCAAGTGAAGACAATGTGTATGAATTGAATTCCCAACTGTTCAAAACACCCTCCGAACGTAGACAAAGTTGGAATAGTTACCAGATGTTGCAAGCAGGCAATGTGCCTCTACCGATTCTATTGATATTGTGATGCATTACAGGGAGTATTCTAAACACTTGAAGGGGCTAATGCAGCCCCATTAGTGCGAAACTTGACATTTACATCCTTTGAGTGTTAGGGTTAATTCCCGGGAGTAGTGTTGTCACCTGTTTCTTGTGTTTGAGGTGGATCAAACTTAGGATTAGTCTAAATGGTGGAAAAAACCCTATTCTTCTTAAAAACAATTTTGGGTTTTTCATAAAACCTTGAAAAGCCTGATTTCAACCATGGTTTTGCAGCAGTCTATCAACTGAAATTACCGCGCTTTTGGTGATAGCGTACATTGTTATGTTAGATATCATTTTTGAGTGGATAGCACAAAGATTTGTATTTGACGATAACGAGTACCAGGAGTTGTGCATCACGGCCCTAATCATAGATCAGTGTACTCCAAAATTGATCAACAGCGACACAAGACTTACGACTAACACTCGTCGAATGAATTCCCCCCACCCCATCCATCCTTGATATCAGCAACCTAACAAATCTTTTACTCGCACACACAAACAAATATTTGACGGTCCAAAACGGAATGTTGTCTCCGAGGTTCAAGATTTTGATAGCTTGATGTGAGAATTGTTTTGGACAACTCGTTGTCACCGGAGAATTTTTTGAAGTTTATGAGCCAGGATATGATCATAAGATAAGCTCGTATAAGGCCGGATAATCAAGTACAGAATTATTGATACCATGATATTAGCATGTGGAACGAGTACTTTTGTTTCATGTGTTTATAGTTAACTAAAATCAACTAATAAAATCCAAAATCAACTTCCAATTTAATTTCAATTGAATTCTCAATCCTATGAAAATTTACCCTAAATCCAAAAAATTTAAATTCAATTGAAAATTGGATTAAAAATGAATTGGAAATCAATTTCAATTTCAATTTCAAGAGAATGAATAAAGAATATTGAGAATACTC